ACTTCTAGCCTATTTTCAAATAAATAAAAATAAATGAGGGTCTTAACTTATTTTTTGTCCAATATTAGTATTTAAAAATTTAAAAAAACGATTTAATCTAATTATTAAAAAAAATCGAGGATACGAAACTTCGTAAATAACAAGTGACGTGTTTTAGAGTTACAAAAATTTAAAAACGCTACGATAAATAAATATAGAAACGTCAATTGGGCTGGTTTTCTCGTTTTTTGAAAAAGGTCTCAACTTGCTAAATGAGTTACAATATAATTAGTGAGTTTAAAGAATTTCTTTAGAAAAATAGAGATCGGGAAAAATATTATCAGCTAGGAATTTCCAAAAGGTGACAAATTTATTGTTCCCATTAAAATATAAAAACATAATAAAGATGAACTATTTATTAAGAAGTAGGTGGATAAATAGTAAAGAATTTTAATACTTTATATTAATTATATCGATCATTTGTCAAATATATATCAGTATTTACGTTATAATTAATTCATGATATTACATTCGCGATAATGAATTCTCTGTAATGCATTCGCGATAATGCATTCGCGATAATGCATTCGCGATAATGCATTTGCTATAATACATTCAAGATATTGCATTCGCGATAATATATTCGATGTAATGCATTTGCGATAATAATTTAGCGGTATTGCATTCGCTCTATTGCAACGCTAATATATTCGCTATAATGCATTCGCGATAACGTCTTCGCTCTAATACATTCGCTATGATGCATTCGCGATAATGCATTCGCAGTCATACATTTGCTGTAATGCATTCGCTGCATTCGCGATACTGTTTTCGCTATGATGCATTTGCGATAATGCATTCGCGCTAATACATTCGTTATAATGTATTCGCTAAAATGCATTCGCGATAATTTCTTCGCTCTAATACATTCGCTATGATGCATTCGCGATAATGCATTTCGTGGAAAAAGTTTCGCGGTATTATTGACGTGATACGCAAAAGAGTACAGGCGAATATTTTTTTGCCCCATTCCGAGAGCCTTTACCTTATTCAGCGGTTTTTAAGTTTTAAGGTCATTTTTATATTAATTTTAATATATATTTCCTGTAGGCGTAAAAACGGAGGATAGGAGAAGATCATCTAATTAATTTTATGGACTCTTTAGTACAAGTCACATCAGAGCATAAACATTTTCTTTTTTTGTTAAACTTTTATTTTCATTCAATGTAAATTTTGAAACTACTTAATTACCTCAGAAGAGACAGTGCACCAGGTTCAGGAACTGTACCTATTTTTATTACTCATCATCGCATAAATCTATATACTCTTGAATATGTTTATTTTTAGTAAATTTTCGGATTTTAGAGATTAAAAATGTAGATGTGATAGATAATTATGAATCCTGAGTTTGACGCTTATTCAATAAGTAAAACATAATTCCACTTAATAAAAATAACTAATATATCTTTAGCGATGTTTCGTTATATTATTTGTTTAATCATTTAATACTTTAATTTTACAATTCTTGGATAACCTTAACAGATTAAAGATAATTCCAGTTGTTTATTTTCTACTAATAAACGATTTTTCATAATTTAATTTATTTACATATTATTTAACCTAACATTTTCTAGATAATATTAAAATGTTAGTTAGACATGATCTAACTTTCATATTTTTGTTCACTCGTAATTAGCGAAGATTCGTAGTTAAGTAAAAAAATGAAGTGTTTTTTTTTGCTAATTTATTAAAAATTAATATTAACATTTTCTGATTCCTTTTAAAGAGCTAAACATGATTCTGCATTAATTTATTAATATTAGCGTATAATTATAAGAACACAGGGCTTTTTAGGGGATGCGTATTTTAGTCATCAAATAGTGTATCTTTTTTGGATATTTTACTAATTTATCATTTTATTTAAAAAAATTAAAAAATACATTTTCTAAATTATCTCAATAAGTTTAACATGATTTTATATTAATTTTTATTAAGATAATATTAACATTTTCTGAATTCCCTCGGAGAGATAAACATGATTCTATATTTATTTTATTAAAATTAGAGCCTTTTTAATATAGGGGATTGGTAGAAATTAGAGGAGGGCACGAGCCGTGTAAATGCGCCTGACGCAACGGGTCACGGCGTAAGTGTAAATAAATTTTAAATTATTCGGAGTAACGGATTTTTGCCAAGCGTGAACATAAATTTCCCGTGAATCACGGAAATTTTAATTTTTAAAATAGTTTTTTTTATGATATTAAATTTGCAATTATATAATTATTATAATATATATTCCAGGGATCCGGAGTGAACCGTAACGAACCGTTAAACCATTATAACCATATCCGTAACCGATCCGTTATAATTATTTTTTGAAGGGGTAAAAAGAACCTTTATAAAAAACGCTTAAACCGGTTCAGTTTTTATATTTTAGAAATGTAAATAATTTTAATATCCAAAATTATATAAACTTGCTCTTATAGTACTGGCCAGCGTTTACATGAGCGGGAGGGGTAGGAACAGTTTGCACCCTATTTTTTTAAGGGGGGTAGGCTGCTTTAATGGGGGTAGGATAAATTTTTTTGGGGGTTATCTATTAAATTTTGAGATGAAATAGGACAAAATTTATTGCTGTAAAAATTAATACATTTATTATAGAATTATTATAATACAATTATCGAGCAAATCTGTATATTGCAAACAATCATACACATTGTTTTCCAAATAAAACTTTCTGCTATCCTTTTAAATGTAATTTAAAAGGTTTAGATATATCAGCAAGCTCATAATGTCATATTATTTATTCATTGTAATGGAGGTTTTAATTGAATTTATTATCTAAAAAATAAATTCTTTATATTCACAAAATATCGATAGTTGGTAGTAGAGATAAATTAATTTAAGCTATCCTTATAAATTCTCTGAAAAGAGTATCAATATAATTATAAAGGTGAAAATAATAATAAAGAGACACAGCCGCCGAAGGTGGCAGGATTTTTTTTTTTGGGGGGGGGGGGTAGACAAAAGTTATTGAGGGGGGTTTGCAGCCAGTGAAAATCCTGTCATGACGCTGGTACTGGCGGTTCCCGAAACACAAGTTTCTGTAGAAAGGGCTTTTTCGGGGCTTAAATTTGTGTTATCGTCACAACGAACAAAAAGGAATCCATTTATATTATAAAATATATTACATATACGTTCAAATAATATATTTAAAAATGAGTTATTTTGAATCTTATATATTTTATGCTTAAAATAAAAATAAATTAGAAGATGGTGTTGCTTCAATAAAAAAAAATTCTAACCGTAATGAACCTTTATAAGCCTTAGCTGAACCGAACCTTTATAAACTTCTTCTTAAGATCCGTAACCAAACTGAACCGTTATAAATAACGGTTCGGGCCCCTGAATTCTCATATAAATCTTTTTGAAAAAGGAATAATTTTTGATCAAAAATTAAAAAATTATGCATTTCAGACCTTTCCTTGTTCATTAAAATGTAGATAATTTAATTTATGCCTCAAAGCAAGTGTAGAAATTTAAATATTTTTCAAATTTTAAACGAAAGAAAAAAGCACACATGATCATACGATATTTGGCACACCGAACAACAAACAAGGAAGAGACTCTTCATGCAAACTTAACATAAACTCTCAATACTTAACAAGATATAAGGGTTATTATTTTTTGTTGCCTCACTAAATACCACTTAAGGATGCAGGTACATTTTTTTTATATGACATTATTTTTATTTTTTCCTTAACACTATTCTGCCGGAAACGGAACTAATACATCACCATTATTGTACTTCTTCCTTCTTCACTTTGCTAACTGGCTACATAGTGGTACCGTCCACTATAATAAAACGGGTAGACATCATGTATGGGATCTGGTAACAGATTAAATCATGGGGAAATTTTTCATATATTATTTTTTTTTTATTTATTTTTTTTTTTATTATTTTTTTTTATTTATTTTTTTTTATTATTTTTTATTTATTTTTTTAAATTTTTTATATATTTTTTTTAGATTGTCTGGATTTTGGTATAAATTTGGCGTATTTTTAGATTTTTTTTTTGATAAATAAATATCGTGTGGATTTTGAAGGAAATTTTTTGATAAATAAATATCGTGTGGATTTTGAAGGAAATTTTTTGATACAATATCAAAGTTTTTTAAATTTAACATTTTACCTCTTTATGGATAACATAGAACTATTTTTGTTTTTCTTTAAAAATATATATATCTATATTATCATTGTATATATGTTATGTTTATTCAAATAAATTGATTAATTATTTAGTATACATATTTTTATTAAATTCTTAAATAAACTTTTTTTTCTAAATTCTTAAATATTCTCTTTTTTTCTAAATTCTAAACATACTCTTTTTCTAAATTCTTAAATATACTCTTTTTTTCTAAATTCTTAAATATACTCTTTTTTCTAAATTCTTAAATATACTTTTTTTCTAAATTCTTAAATATACTCTTTTTTTCTAAATTCTTAAATATACTCTTTTTTTCTAAATTCTTAAATATACTCTTTTTTTCTAAATTCTTAAATATACTCTTTTTTCTAAATTCTTAAATATACTCTTTTTTTCTAAATTCTTAAATATACTCTTTTTTTCTAAATTCTTAAATATACTCTTTTTTCTAAATTCTTAAATATACTCTTTTTTTCTAAATTCTTAAATATACTCTTTTTTCTAAATTCTTAAATATACTCTTTTTTCTAAATTCTTAAATATACTCTTTTTTCTAAATTCTTAAATATACTCTTTTTTTCTAAATTCTTAAATATACTCTTTTTTTCTAAATTCTTAAATATACTCTTTTTTTCTAAATTCTTAAATATACTCTTTTTTTCTAAATTCTTAAATATACTCTTTTTTCTAAATTCTTAAATATACTCTTTTTTCTAAATTCTTAAATATACTTAAGATTTTTTTTAAATTTAAAAAAAATAATAAATAAAAAAAAATATTAAAAAAAAATAAATAAAAAAAAAATATTAAAAAAAAATAAATAAAAAAAAATAATATATGAAAAATTTCCCCATGATTTAATCTGTTACCTGGGATCTATATACTAGTGAAAATACATGATGCACGCTTCAACTCCTGGTGGGTGATGAAATTCTGGCGTGGTAATGAATGAATGAATTAATTTAACGAACCTTAATATAGATATTTAAATTAAGAGTTTCAACTATATCATAGTTTTAAAATTTTGATAGCTGGACAGATACTTAGGTAACATACTTATTTCAATCATTTAATTTACATTGAATAAAAACTTTATGATTTATCCATTACTAACATTGAAGGTAGAAAATATATACTTTGTTAACATATTTTATTTAATGCTTTCTAAATACTATATATATATACTTTACTCTCCATTAGCAACATATAAGAGCTATCATATTACAAATATATTTTTTAAATTATTTACTGAAGGTTCCAGCAAATATATATACTCACAACTAAGTTTAAATTATTTAGAGGATTGTAATATTTTTGATAAAAATTTCATAATATCTCAAAAATATTTCTTTGTATCAAAATTTTTTCACAATTTTGCTTTTTTTAACCTAATTAAAGCATCTGATACCCCTAATATTTATCTTCTTTTCATAGAGTGGCCTTATAGTTTATATATATATATATAAAGTGTTATGTTTATAAGATAACCTGTCAAGAATGATGGGAAATAGTAAATTTCCCTTTTATTTGATGATGGGTAATCAGAAATGTCTTCTATATTATTTGATAATGGATAAATCATAAATTAACCTATTTTATGAGGTGTGAATCAGAAATTTATCATTGTTTTGATGAGAGCTCATTTAAATTTCTTTATATTATTTTATAGGATATATTAATGAAGTATATATTGTTAGTACCTTCAATTTGAACAAATAATTGGAATATGTGAATCAATTCTCATGCCTGGCCCAGTGAGAATTTAGTTAATTCCTAACACAGCCATTTCTTGACCCAGACCAGTTTCAATATTATACTAAAGTTGTCTGATCTAGCCCAATTTTTAAATTTTTTTAAATACAAGATCCAAACATGTGTTGTTGAACTTAAATAAATAACAATTTATGATCTTGGGTAGTGGTTAAATTAAAGCACTATATTTTAGTGATCAAATATATATACAATTCATTTTTTTGTACAGCCTGGCCCAAAAAAATTCTCAGATGTATGGGCTTGGGACTGGTATTGCAGATATCTTTGAATGTCTTTATGTGCACAATATTAAATTATTTATAAATGTATTTTAATAAATTTATAATTTATAACCTAATAATTTAATTTTGCTAGATTAAGGTTTTATAGGTCAAAATATGTATTTAATATATTTCAAAGACCTGCACACCAGGTCCTAAGCCCAGGTCCACGGGCTGGCCATATTTTAATTTTTTAATACACTTGGGCCAGGTCTAAAAAAAATTTTTTTTAAAACTCGGGACAGGCCTGTAAGGGGTAAATGTAGGTCCTACATATTATTTTTAGACAATTACTTTCTTACAAATATGGAGTTATTTAGTGTGTGAAAGTAAAAGTTCATTAGATAAATATTATATACTAGCTGTAGCTGTGTTAACCCGTCAAGAATGATCTAGAATAACACATTTGGGTCATTCCATGTCAAATCAATCACTTTTCGGCCGACCCCTTTCGATTTCGATGAAAAATCGTAGGCTGGTTATATATGTTCCCATTAGATTATAAACAAAATTTTAGCGGATTGGCAACTATATTAGCGGAGATATTCGAGGTTAAAGGTCTAAAAAACGTCTTTTTTTGCTTTTTACTGATGTTAAATAACTAGTTTTTAATTTTAAACTAAATATGATCAAATATTGAATATAATATCAATAGCTAAGTTAATAATTGATGATTATGGCGAAAACATCAAAATTAATTTTTGATAAAATATGGGTCATCTTGAAAACTTGAAATTAATATTTCGAAATGTATATAATCTCCGATTTTTAATTTTTTTAAGAAATATTATCCGTTTACTATTTTTTTAATAATTTCTTCAACAATTAGCATGGCTGGATATTTATTTTTAAAAATTTTGCGATTTTTATACTTTTAAAAAAATAGATGGCGCTATATATAATAGTTTAAATATGTTAAAATTCATTTTTTTTATTGATTAAAAATATTTTAATGTATATATATCATACTAAATCGATTACAATGTCCATTATATATATTTATTTGTAATTCAGATCATAAATTTTTAAAATCTTCACAAATTTAGCCTAATTAAGATAGTTATAAATTAATTAAATCTTACTTCATCTAAAGGAATACAAAGCCCGGCTAGCTTGTGAGATTTCTTCAGGAGATAATATATATGTTTGACTGGTGGGAGTAGAAGGATTGACCAGCGAGAGAATATGAGATTTAGGCAACACAAAAATATCATCTTTCAGAGGAAATTTAAATGAGGCTGAAGGTCCACAAGGCTGTAAAAATCGGATTTTTACTTCTTCATTTATATCATTTTTATCGATTATATATCCTAACCACCATTTATCACCATATACACATGTTATATATCCATTAATATTTTAAAAATTAATTTTCTCATTTAAAAACTAAACTTGTTTTATATTATATTTTTTGGAATTGGAATATATTTTGGTTTTTAGTCTATTTTGATCACTGGGAATAACCCCGTGATTTTTTTGGGTCCCATGTATAAGCAGTGCATTAAATCTTTTACGAAGCTAATTCCTCTTCGATATATTCTTGATTGGATACATATTCCAATTGAATTCCATTAATATTTTCTTTAGCATAATTATATAATTCTAATGAGGTTAGGATTTGATTTTTATTTGGCCTTTGAAGACTAGCTCTGGCAACTAATCTTTTGATAGTTCCTCCGATACCGTCACTTGCATTTTTGCCGTGAGCAGTGGCAAAGAAATGCCATTCGGCAGGAATATTAAAATCGTATTTATGAAGGCATATGTTCAGAAAAATTTTGCGATTCTTGTATTGAGACGCGGCTTCATCTGAAAAATATATTATTTTTTCTGGTTTAGAATTAAATTTGGATAAAATAACAAAATTTATATTTTTTAATTCTTCTCCAGATTTATATGCTACAAATGGATGTATAGTGGCCTGCACGTTGTTCCAATGAAATCCCTGAACTTCATCTTGTAAAATGAAGGAATAATTCTCAGAATAATCTAGAATTGTTAAAAATTCCCCATCTTTTAAATTTTTCTACATTTGTCATTAATTTCACATTCTGATGAATGGCGCAAACACAAACAGTGTGTGTGCCACTAGCTCCAACTAAAATACAGTTTTTTGGTCTAAGTTCGGCAAATTTAGAGAATCCAATTGATATATTTGGGTATTCTTCCTTAAACATCTTGAATATTTATTTAAGCTTATTTAATATAAGTCTTTGGACTGATTCTTTCTCGCCTTTAACAGATCACAATCTTTTATTCCAGGCATGAGTCGGCTTATTTCATCAGAACTATAATTTTGTTTATTTTTATTGCTTAAAATTTTTTTCAAAATCTTCGAAATTTTCTTTATCTCTGGTTATTTTAATAATTTAAGATAATGACAATTTCATAACATTCTTGATCTTGATGGGTATGACTTAGTCTGGGGGGGGGGGTGGAGGGTTGGGGGTAGGCCTGGTAATTAATGTGATTTTCGATTTTTCCCTTAATAATTTTCCTGCACACCTTTAATCCTGCTTTTTTGTTAGTGTGCTAGTCGGATTTTTTAATTATTTTTAATTTACATTGAAATATTAAAAAAATTATTAAAATTTTTTATCCTGCGAATATCTCAGGGGAATAGGTTTACAAAGTTATATAATAGAATTTTATGATATATTATACATTAAAATATATTTAATCAATAAGAAAAATGAATTTTAACATATTATAACTATTATATATAGCGCCATCTATTTTTTTTAAAGTATAAAAATCGCAATATTTTTTTAAATAAATATCCAGCCATGCTAATTGTTGAAGAAATTATTAAAAAAATAGTAAACGGATAATATTTCTTAAAAAAATTAAAAATCGGAGATCATATACATTTCTAAATATTAATTTCAAGTTTTCAACTGACCATAAGATGACCCATATTTTATCAAAAATTAATTTTGAAGTTTTAGCCATAATTCTCAATTATTAACTTAGCTATTGATATTAGATTCAATTTTTGATCATATTTAGTTTTAAATTAAAAACTAATTATTTGACATCAGTAAAAAGCAAAAAAAGACGTTTTTTGGACCTTTAACCCCGATTATCTCCGCTAATATAGTTGCTAATGCGCTAAAATTTTGTTTATAATCTAATGGGAACATATATAACCAGTCTACAACTTTTTATCGAAATTGAAAGGGGTGGGCCGAAAATCTTGATTTTTTTGCTCATTTGACATGGAATAACTCATTTATCTTTTATTTGACGTTCTTGACAAATTATAGTATTATAAAAGGTGAAATTAGATTCTACTTCACGAAACTTAGAAGAAAATTCCAACTTCTATTTAAACTAAATGGATTTGATAATTAACTATAATATTATAAAATTTTTCGAATTTCCTGTTGTGGATCTTCAATCGATTTCTTTGTTTGGTAAGAATATTACCCCAAATCGACCTATTATTTTTAGAGGAGAACTAAAATTTGTTAGTAAAATGTAGTGTTGTTAAATGGCATGGCTCGATTTTTGAAAACGATCCCATTACGATTTTAGTCCAAATAATAATACGTAAGATTCGAGATTTGGAAAATAGAGGTCCAAACCTTTCTGATATCTATGTGCAAAATCTCCAAGCTTACATTATTCTTTTGGGTAAAATCAGGCCATTTTAGAAAATCGACCAAATCGGGCACTTTAATAACATTGGTAAAATGTCGCTTAGCAAAGCCCAATGGAATCTGAATGTTTCGAATTTACTGCTTTCCACATAATTTACTATCAAACTGGCCACTTTTACATCTGAAATTTATGATATCCCTTGAAATATTTTGATCATCACCACCTTGTAAAATGCCTAATTCTTATATTATATCACAAACTTGATTAATTTCATTACTAGTAAGACGCTCCCCTTGATATTGGGGTAAATAAACAGCATTGTTATTACGTGTATTTATATCGTTTTTTCTTTTTTTCAAACATATTTTTTTTATTTTTCTTCAGTTTTTTTAGAGTATTTTGACCAAGTCAAATACTCCTTCGGTCAATTGACTGAATTTGACCGGTTAATTGACGGACTTGCCAGTCCTGGTTATTACTATATAGTACTTAACAAAGTCAGTATCGTTTTATTATATTTTTCAAAATGTTAAAATTTTATTCTTATTTTCTTTGCAAAAATTTAAATCTAAAGAAATCAATTATTTTTTTAAAAAAATTGGCCCTTTTGTAGTGTCTATATGGCGTTTCATGTTATGCGCTTATATGCATTTAAGATTTAAATTTTTTTAAACTAGTTCCAAAATATTTATGGGTCTCTAAGTTAATAGATTCTGAAAGTAGATAGAGAAGATAAGAAATATCACTATTTTTCTGTAATTTCAAATACATGTTAAGTAAATTAATTTTCACTATTTTTATTCTAAGGATAATGGCAACTCAGTTCTCAATTTCTAACGATGTTGTAAGCTCGGCAGAACTAGATATATACGTTAATAATTTACTAACTTCCTTGGACTTTCGAGCTGTAACCGGACATTTCACTAGAGAACGTCCAACGAGTCAAGTAGATTTAAGTAAGTATACAAAATGTACCATTCCATCCAGAATTGCCATTTATTATGATGGATACTCAGTTGATCGTCCAAAAATTCGGCCTTTCCTACCATCCTTCACTAATTATCCTGATTCACAACTCATGATATTAAAAGGATCATTTAATCTGACTCATATAGATTCCGAAACTGCTCTATATTCAAATTTGAATACAATCATTATTGCGGAAGGTCATCCATCATTATTGATTTATGTGGACAGATTTTTGGATGATAAACATTCTATTGTTTGGAAATACCCCAAACAGACATTTCTTAAAAATCTATGGCCTGTAATTGGTGATGACTTGCTCAGTGAACCAACGACATATTTGTTGATTGGTAATATTACAGAAATCACAACTTTGGCTTACACGAAAAATGCACCCTGGCTATCAAAAGTTGTATCTGTACTTTATCTATTGTTCCCATATGTAAGAAATGCGTTCGAGAACTTATTTGTGCTCATACCTATGAGAGACTTCCAAACAATTTTTGAGGTGGCGCCAGTAAACGCTAATGCTGCATTTCTAGCTAACATTGAAAAGAAAATTCAATTGATGATTGCGTTGAGTTTATTAACTTTTGCTTATAAGCATGAAAATAAATTCTCAAGCCAATTATTTCTTCTTATCAAAGCAGCTTTATCTGGAACGAATTACTCAAAACTCACCCAACAGGATATTGATGTAGCACTTAGAGAATTTGGATTTAAACCTGATTCGAAACTTAAAATAATTGATGTAGTAATAGGACATGTTATCGCAGTTGATAAGACGAGGAAATATAATCCATTAGTCAAATACGTTGACACATTAACTCCCTCCATGCTTTATGAAGATCCAAGTTTTAACGTTTGGACCATTAAGATATTTGAACAAGCAAAAATGATATATTTCAATCATCATGGCCAAACTATCCGATTGGGGGTCAGTGTAGTAAATGCGTTAGATATAGATGAAAAAACATTGCCACTCGAATGGCAAATTGAAATAAAGTATCTTAAATCAATAGAGCAGTCATTATCAGAATCACCTTATATCGGATTACAAAATAATCTCCCTGAAAAATTTATAGTTGCAAGAGCTCCAAGAATGTGCCTTTTTGGAGTCTTATTTCTTGAATCTTGTTTTGGATCAGAGGGAAAGTCAAAATTTCAACATTATAAAAAATCTCTCTATGATCACATCCCTTCACGAGAAAAATCTCTTTTCCCTATATTATTTGATACTTTTCTTCCGATGCAAGATAACGTAATCGCCTGTTTTATAAAAGGACTTGGTATAAGGAGAGCACAGCAATTAATGGCCACACTATCTAAAGAAAAAACTGAAGCTATTTATTGCGCACTTCATCAAGAAGCTAAAGATAAAAACATTCCTGACCATGAAATGGGTCAATGGTATACCCATACAAAATCTGCCACAAGATTGGATACAATGACAGGAACAGTTAAAGAACTAAACAAAAAAGTGGATGAATATTTAGAGGAAAAACTATTGCATCATCGAATGAAACTAGAAAAAGAACCGAGTGCAGAAAAACGGAGTATTATGATTGAACAATTATCGAAATGGGAGGAAGGTATAAGAGAGAATATCTCACACATAGAAACGATAGATAAACAAAAACTTTTTACCAAGTCATTGATTATTCCTTCGCCAAATTTGTTACCGCCAACCTTGGAAACCCCACAGATTGTACGAGGAAACCAAGCAGACTTATTAACTATTCCCCCTAGTGGATAAACATTATTCTATTTTATAAGTCATTTAAAATGATAATAATTTATAATTTATATTATATTGCATTATTTTGTTTATATATTAGAATTTTTACCGATATCAATATTGCACTTTTATTTTAAGTACGATACCAATAGCTTAGATTACTTTTTGTATAATATTTTTATTTTTGATACTTTTATATCTTATTTGTTAATCATTTTTACAATTAAATAAAGATGGTCTATTTTTTATTCCCTTTTTATAAGTTTCCTAAGTAGTTTATATATAACCAAAAAAAGGCTTTCTTTCTTTACAAAAAATGACTGAATTCAAATATTAATAAGAAATATTTTAATGAAATCTATTTTCTTTTTAAATTTCTTTTAAATGATGCACAAATTATTATGAGATTTCATAATATCTTCAAGGTCTTTATATCGCGAAATTGGCAGCGGCTCTGATCGAGCCGGTTAAGAAAACTTACTGCCTACGCCGAGTTAAAGCTCCTTATATAAGAGTGTGGCAATATATTCTATAATTTTGTCTAAAATTGTCTACTATTATAATTTGGCACTGTCGCCTCTCAACTATCGTTTGCTGCTGATTTTGGATAATTAAATAGTTGCTATAAAACAAGGTAATCATATTCATAATGTTTTACGATAATTCGCCCTTTTCCACAGTCATACATTGGGTAGTTACGAAGGGAAACAATGGAGTTGATATCATCTTTTATATAAAATTGATAAATCGAGATTTTATCCAAAAAATATTACCTAAGCTTTGGGATATCGTTAAAAGTGGGGTCAAATTGTACCACCTACAGGCAAAATTTCAATTAAATTATTTAAAAAATAGATTAATTAGGCTAAACTTATAGGAAATTTAATTTTTTGCCGCGATTCAGATATTCAAAAGATAAATTGATGTAAGAATTTGACCACAAATCTTTTTAAATTTGGAAATAGGATTTTGTCTCTTTCATTTTTCATTGTTTATACTATACAATGACAATGGTGGCTAAATAATAAATTATTAAAAATAATTAACGAAACACAAAATATAAGGATCAAATATTTTTGAACTGCGTTCTCAGATCCTATAGCCTTGTTTGAGATTCTAATCGAGTGTATTACTTAAAAAGTTGGTTTGCGAAAAACAATCTATTTTGCTTAACGAAAGTTTATATTACTAATATTTTAGGGAGAGTAAGGCGGGGAAGGGTTGGGGGAGGGGGAGTGCGAAATTTTTTTTATTAGGAATATGAATAAATTCTTTATATTATATTTTAAAAATAATATATAAATTTCCATCAATCTTTCATTACTTCGTTTTCTTTGCGCTCTATTTTTTGAAAAGATTTCATTCGCCTATCGATGATTCCTTTTCTATATTTTGGTATATACAGTCTCTGAATCCAATCTGATATCGAAGATTCATTAATATATATGAACATTAAATTTGGAGCCGGATCGATCCACCTATTTTCACCGATACGATCCTATTAATAGCTCAAAAACCTATCCCGATATTTTTTATTCTAATCCACCTTACGGGTAGACATCATGTATGGGATCTATATACTAGTGAAAATACATGATGCACGCTTCAACTCCTGGTGGGTGATGAAATTGCACTTCGTGCAATTTCTGGCGTGGTAATGAATGAATGAATGAATTATGCACATTTCAAAACAACATTTTTTTCCCCGTCTTATAAAATTTCAATTAAATATAAAATAATTTAAAGCTCAACTCTCGTTAATGGAAATTTGATAAATTTAATTTAAAATCTAAAAGGATATTTGATGCAATTGTCATAAACATGCTGTTTAAAATGTAATCAATATAAGTAAATTATAGCAAATAACATAATGCATTATGTTTTTGTTAATTGCTTACCTGAAATAGCAAGTATAAATGGTGTAAAAAAGATAGGGCAATATTTTAAGCAATCTGCATCAAACAGTAAGCTAAGCCACTTCATTAGGCAAGATATAATGAGATGGAACTCTGTATATATCATGAGGCAGTTTCTCAAAATCATATGATGAAATACAAATTTACCTGCTTAACAAACACGAATTAAATAGATTAGCTACCATTGATCTAAGTATCATATACCAGTTAGATCACTATTCGAAGTATGCTCTGATAAACTGAGCGCATATTCTCATCCCATATGTTTATTGATGAAAACAAAAATTAATGAAATTTTGTCCACCTTCAGAAGGTGATACAGTAATAAACAAAATTCTAAGAAACAAAACAATATCTCTTTTAAAGGAAAGATTTATTATGCAGCCACTACATAAGGTAGGATTAATTCTAAATTTCAAAAGTCTAAAGTTTTTAGCAAACAATGAAGTAACTTTTCTAATCCATCCTGCAAATAAATACCGCATATTTTAAAGGAAGCATTTAAAGAATTTATAGATTATACTATTACTGGAGGCTACAAACATCTACCGAAGCAAGTTGTGAGGTTTTTAAGATTCGTCTTTCATAAAACAAATAAAAATATTTTGATGTTTTGGAAGCAGGAAAATTAATCCTTTTTTTTTTAGAAAAAAATTGCTAGTTAAATTATACCAGCCTCTGAAAGTTCGGCCAGTGATTATTTTTTCTATAACAAATAGCTTATTATATAGGAAAGACGAATTAAATTAAAATCAAAAAAATATAGTAATTCTTTTTTTAAATTTTGTTTGTTATTAATAAAAAAACTATGATAAAGTATAAATAAAAGTTTTGGCATTTAGAATAACAATTTAAAAACCGTGATTTTTTCGATCGTGGTCAAAATATTAATTTTCTTGAGCGGGCGGGTAGGGTTAAATTTTTTTAGTAACAAGCGTGAAAGGGCGTGAATTTTTTTTGCCACCGTGAGCGGGTGGGTCATGAATAAAAAATAAGACCCGTACCCACCTCCAATAGTGATGCCTAGTTTTCGGGGGGTAATAACGCAACTCAAGGAATCTAAATTTAAAGATTTTTTTTTAATTGGTTGAAATATATTTAAAATTAAACAAGTAGGATTAAAGGATAGAAAGATTTTGGTGTTAAGGTATATTAAAATTGGTTTTTACTAAAATTTAAACATTTTTATTAATAATTTGCCAAAATGACAAAAGTTAATCATATTAAAAACGCTCTTCGTTTAGTAATGAAAAATAAATGTCTCCTAACTTTTTTTTAAAACTAAGTTTTTATTAATAATTAAAAAACAACAATTTCTGAATCAATCATATATAAACGAATAATTTTATTTTTTAAAAAAGATCTTCTACTGAGAGATTCTCAGTTTAGTCAAAATAAATCAATTATATTTTAAGAATTTTTTAAAAAGATATTAACATTTTTTGAATCCTCTTGAAGTAAATGATTTTATATTCATTTTTTTAAAAATCAAAGCCATTTTAATAGGGGATTCTTAGTAGTGATCTGCATCGGGCCTAATTTTTCAAGCCAGGCCAGGCCCGAACCCGAAATTTTTTTAAAGTTTTGCCGGCCCGAAATTTATTTTAAAAGAATTAACAGGCCCGAATTTATTTAAATATAGAAATTAATTTTATTATTACTTAAAATAAAAGACATGTTATATAGCGTTTAGTTTCAATAAATTAAATCAAAAATTTTTATTTTACATAAAAAATCGATAAATTTAGATATATTTAATAAAATTTCCAAGGTCCAACCTGACCCAAAATTTTTTTAAAAAACATTAGGCCTGGTCCAAACCGAATATTTTAAATAAAATTAGACCCGAGCCGGCCTGAAGCCCGTTTGGGCCAGGCCCAACTTTGCAGATTTCTAATTCTTAAGTCAAAAAAATTTTTTTTAATTTAATATTAACATTTCCCATTTTCTTAATCCTCTTGAGTTATATATGATTCTATTTTTTTAAATTTGAGCCTCTTCCATATGGAATTCTACGTTTAGTCATATTTTTTTAGGATTCTATATTTATTTATTTTTTAAATTTGAGCCTTTTTAATAGGGGATACTTAATTTAGTCTTAGTCATAAAAAATAGTGTTTTTTTTTAAATCCCACTAATTTAAAAAAATAAAAATTTCAATTCAACAATTTCAAAATCACATTGAAAAGATAAACATATATCTATTTTTTTACAATATTCTAAACCATAATCCATATTATTTTATATATGTCTTTCTTTAATAGCAGATTCTTAGTCTAAGGGAATTCTTATTTATTTTAGTCATGCTCCTTTTTTAAACTTTTTTAGAAAAATTTTAATTATCCATATTATCAAAAAAAATTAATAACATACTTTTTAAAAAAATACATATTGTTTCCAATGACATATTGTATTAGAGAGGAGGGTTAACCATTTATAATTCCAATTATAAAACACATAAATAATAGTGAAAATTTAAGAAGTAGGTAAGCATTTATTTAAAGAATTTAATAAAGGTTATAAATTTATTACAGAACATATAAAATCATTAAAATTATTGTAAATAATAATGGAAGGAATTTGTAATTGCCTTTAATATCAAATTTGTAAAATATTAATCAACATCTTCCTCGGCAATTGTTGTGGAAAAATTACTACTTCCAAATATTTTCTAAATAATCAAAAATTAATTTAAATGTGAAATTAACTAATTACTTTATGAGCTTGTGGTAATTTTTGGACTAGAAGAAAAAATATTTGTGGTGGTAATGTTTGTTCCAGAACTTTTAATAATTGTTTTTGTTGGCCACACACAGAGACGGCAATGGATAAATGGTCAATTCCATTTTCGAGATCACCTATAGGATAATATGTTAATTATTATAAAATTCAAATTACCTATAGCTAATAATTCTTCTCCTTTGGTTACTTCCTGAATAAAAAAAGCTTGCATAGCCTCAGGATCCTTAAAGTCTGGAATATTCAACTTATTTTCATTCTCTTTTTCAAGCTTTAATTTAGTTCTTTCTTTTTAAAAAAAATTATAAATTTTAATAAATATTTTACTTTCTCTTAATTTATTCTTGAAATTAGGATCACTCCTTCTTTTTTTATCAAAATATACGCAGTATCCTACAAATAAAGCACCACATACACCAGCAGTCATTTTGATAACCGAAGAATTTACTGAACTGATTAAAAACGCCATTTAAATTTAGCGTATGAATGGATTAATAGGAACGCCTATACGGCCTACACAGTGTTGTGCTGATTTATTTCAAAAAATTTACAAATTTTTTAATTGTTTATAAATATAATCAACTAACTTGTAAAAATTGATAAGAATATTTATATGAAAAATTTTTGTGCGTGTTAAATAATTTTATTTGTATAATAAAATCAAAAATATGGAAATGTTTTTCGTCAAATCTGGTCAACACTGTATATCACATTAAAATAAATTTCATGTAATCAAGAGCATAAAAATTATTCATGGTTCTTAATCGTTATCCTAACATTGCCAAATTGTCTAACACAATATGTGTTGAAATTATTTTGTGCTTTACTTTTAAAAATTCTTGTAGTTTCTCATATTAGATATCTCAATATTGTTTTGTTTTTACAATTAATGGTATTTCATGTTTAGTGTCAACATATTTATTGTAAGATTTATTTTAATAATGAGGTAATTGTTCATTATAACGTAATTATATTTACTACTAAAGATCCTTTGTATTTTTGAATTTCATTATTATAATAATAGTTATTTTTAAATATATATCTCATTTACCATACTCTTAATTGTAATAATGTTTATTTTCCATATGATTTTTATCCTAAAATGACAATATTTTATTATACTATTTTAAATCAATTTATATGAGAAATAGGTATATGTTTTTACATAAATATATGATGAATTACAAAACTATATCTGATAAATTTTTAATTATCATAAACTTAAAGATTGAAATTATAATATAGAATAAAATGTTCGATTCAAATAATTAATATAACTTTTGTTGAATATTAATTTATTTAAAATTGGTATCTAATAAAATGTAGTTCAATATATTTATTACTCCATACCATATTATAAAGAAATCGTTTTCTATACTAGTTGTTTTTAGTATCTGAATATCAAATCCACTTTATCCTGTTGTTCCTAATGTATATGTACCAAATCCAATGACTTATCCATGTATTTTTAAAATAAATAAAATAAATTTTGTTATCTACTAATTTTCAGGCTTTACTATTCTTGCTGCCACCATAAAGGATGGACAGGGATTATAATGTATAATACTTTTTATTATAGGAATTATATTTATTTTATATTACATTATGATTTTAATAAAATATCAATCTAAGATAAATGTATAGATATAAATAAAAAATATAAATTTAAATTACAAAATAAAAAGTTTTTCCTTTAAGATGTTGAGTTAATAAGTGAAATATAGAATAAATTTATATCCGAATGTTAGATGTTAAGTTAATGAAGTAAAACTTTTTATATGAATATGGAATTTTAATATATTAAATTATTACGATAAATGGTAAAGTTATTCCTTAATTTAAATAAATAATATTTTGTAATATTAAATAATTTAATGTTTCTGATATTGCAACATTTATATTAATACTTAAGAAATTATTACCTAACACCTAAATTTTTATCTTTGCATCTGTTACTTTCCAATCAATTTTCAACACATTTCTTTTTAGTATATGCTATTAAATAATTTTAATGTCAATTAAAATAATTCAAATGAAAACTCTGTTATTCTTTATAGGAAGTTTTTTTGTAACATCTTTAGTCATTGGAAATGCCTTTTACCAAAAAAAACAATTTTACCCAGCTATAGTATACCTTACCAAATCTAATCCAAGCTTAGCTGTAAATAAGATTTCAATTATAATGAATATATATTAATATTTAGATAATATATTTGCAAATATTTGTCTTTGCACTAGCTCTGGTCAAATTCACTAAAACTTTATACTTTGGCCAACTAAGACCAGCTGAAGTTGAAGTAATTATTTTTTTAAATATTTTATTTTTTTAAGATAAATATATATATTTAACACATAGTTTTCAGTATAAATGTAAATAATGTATACCATATCATTATTTGATATATGAATTTAGATTTAAGTTTTATTATTGATAATTAATTAAATATAAAAATATCAGAACCTATAAAAGCAGTAAAATATTTTGAAAAAATATACTAATAATTATTACTCTGATTTTTATTTTACCATGAAATAATAAATATTCAAAAAACATTTTTTATATAAAAAATATATATCTTTTTATTTACTTATACCCTTATTTTTTCAAATTAGCATATAATGGAAAAAGGATGGTTTGCCATTACAGAGACTTGCTTAGCCTTTACCTTGTTTAGAGATGAATTTACACCACGATTTATTGCACTCTTTGGTTTTTTACTTGTTGTAAAATGTTTTCATTGGATTGGGGAAGAAAGGGTAGATTATGTAAGTTTTATGGACATTTATCAAATTAATTGAAAGCAAATGTGCAATGCAGGAGTTGATTTTCATTATACATATAAGAATTGTCATCCCTTTTTTTTTATAAAATCATATGTATGCTTCTGAAAAACTTGAAATGAATTTAAAAGATTTGAAAATAGTAATTTGATACAATAAAATATTCAATATTTCATCTATTATTTTCACTATTTTTAGTTGGCATATTTATTTATTTCAATTTATACAATTGGAAAATTCAAATTATTAAGACCGAATATAATATGGTTTAAAAATAATAGCTATATAAACCAGTATGTAAATCACATAAAAATATTAAATTAAACATTTTATATTGATTTAATGTTAATCAAAATATCATTCATTGTAGAAAATTTAATCTTTTTTGTGATTGCACCAATTTTTTAATAATTTGTTCTGTGTTGGGGATTAGATCTCGATGAGTAAAGCTAGTCAAATCAATCGATTTTAATACTTTTACGTTTTTATATGGATTGAGGGAGGCCTGGCTGAGGCTCATCTTCTGTTTGTCTACATTCGTCGTCCATATTTGGGGAAACTATTTCCGGGTTTAAATCATTGATAAAATCGAATTCCGATCATTTCAATAGAAAAAAAAAGTTCCCCATCATTTTACATAACCAATAGTTTATCATTCATTTTTTTTAAACGTGGCATTTATAATATGTTGAATCGCTCTGAAGGTGATTTTATTATAATTAGATATTTAGAATACAATGAAAATTAATTTTAAAAAAATTTTTTTTATTTCTGGAGGATCCCATATTTTGGATTTTTTTTTTAAAGGATCTTCAATCTCGATTATCGATATTTCGAATACCTAGTGTTGTTAAATAGCTCGACTTCGCAGATTTCTAAACTAAGATTTTGGTCAAAATGATATTACCCAAGCCTCGATTTGCCGTTTAACTCACCTCCCACCATTTGAAAAAAAATATCCATAATTTTATCTTTTTAAAACGAGTTTCATTAAACATTCTTAAAATTGAAAAAAATATATATGCATGCGCATATTAATATCTTCGTAAAAAGATTTAAGTTAAAAAAAAATATTTATTTGCTTAATAATTTTGTGTTGTCCCATCCCAAAATTTGCCTTGGAGGAATGAAAATGAAGGAATTAAATAGTATATTTTAATAAGATGGTTATTTAAAAAATTGGAACATAACTAAGACTAAGGCCTTATCGAATTGTTTGATAAATTGAGCATTGGTAGTAATTATAAAGAGAAGAAATATAATTAAAACTTATAAATATATTGTAGTTATGAATTATACAAAGTAGTTTTAAATATAGTTATGCGGAATCTATAGTAAGCGCGCTATGTCCAAGTTTTGCGTTATTTAACGCTATCGAAATCACAGCTGATTCTTCACTGCGATAATGTAATAGATAATGCTAAGATAGAGATAATTATTTCACATGATATGTCAGAAATGTCATAATTTTAATTTATTTATTTTTTATCGCAACATATGTTTTTCAAATTTTATCATAGCGTTATCATCATAACGCTCCATATTTATAAATTTTACCTATTTTTGGCTTGATTTTGTGAATAACTCACCGCCTGAACATCGTTACTATAAATTCGTTCCTTCTGAAACACTTTTTTACTAAAATATGAGAATTATTTGAAATTCATATAACTACTAATAGACGATAAAATTTTGATGTGAGAAAACGTTTATAATATATTTTTGGAATTCATATTTTACAGCACTCTATTGGCATGGCATGCTATATATTTAACATATGCCCTAAAATAACTCTATATTGTCTTGTCTTTAGTTATGTCTCAATTTTTATAAATAATTTATTGAATTAATCTAATCTGATAATATTAATTTAATTTTATAGATGGAACGAAGTCCAATCATTACTATACTATTCAAGATCAGAATGATAGGTTTGTTACATTACACACATACACACACAAAAGGATTTTTATACATTATGTCGATTTGATAAATGTTATTATGCTATGAATTAAACTCATAAAAGCCTTTTTAACATAAATGATATAGCCCTGATAATCACGCTAACCGCCATAGATACCTTTTTCGTTAACATGGCCTATTACGAGACCATCATGAAAGGAGCAAGTGTTCAGTTAGTCTTTGGGTTCGAGGTATAATCATGTCAATTTCTTTACTTATATTAAAAATTAAAACTTCTGATTAAGATTCAAATTTTTCATGAATATTATTTACTTTCCTTATAAGATATCATTAAAAAAAAGTTTAAAAAAGGATTTTAAGTTAGTTTTTCTTTGAGATAATGTAATGATAACATAATAACAACTAACCGGAAAAATATGGATTTAGCAGAACTATTAGTGGTTAATTTCTTTATTTTTTTCCCTTACCTCCCATATATTTTATTTCTTCCATATAGGTTGGGTAGATCGCAAACTCGTGTACGTAGCATAGCAAATAAAATATTAACTATAAATTTTTTTTTTATAAATATAAAAGATAAATATATTTTTTTAATATGTTTATTTATAGTATGCCGTACTTTTTTTGTTGATACTGAATATTCACATCAAATTCACGTTACACCTGGTCGATTTGAGAAGCGTCACGCCTTGGGAAAACAAAGCTACTTATCTCCTATTCCTGGAACTCATCATGGGTAAAGTGATAATCATGTTTTTGGGACTTTTTTTGACCCGTCCAACATTAATGTACCTTCGTATAATTTTTAATCTTATAAAAATTTGTCATTGAAAAATTCTACTCGTTCTGATCTCCCAAATTACAGCATTTTTAATTTAAAAAAATCTTCAATCAATATGTGCAAAATTTTAATCTTAGGGTCACGGGTCAGAAAAGATTTTTTTTTGATTTATCCTGGAAATCACCATATATAATAAATAGATACCCACAAGCCCTGACCAAAATCTGACCATTCCTTCAAAATCAGTGTCATTTAAAAAAAATAGTGTATTATATCAATTAATCGATTGGAAAATGATATCATTGAATGTTTAATTTTCTTTTTTAAACCAATTTCTTAAATACAACCAAAAATAAATAAACGAAAAACAAATATTTCATTATTTTTTGATATTCAAAATAAAGCATTTTTTTATAAACCTCCTTTTTATAATACTACCTGACAACATTTGACCTTGAAATTTAAACTCAATATGAACCCAAAATTAGTATATTTAATGTCATAATTAATTCGTAAATATAACATTTTTAGAATATGAGCCATATTTTTAAACCTTAGTCTAAATTCCTTTTTATAGTTAAAATCAGTATATATGCTTAATATAGAATCCAACAACTTTGTTCAACGATAAATTAAATTTTTTATTAATGCATTCCCTTAACGGCGCATGCGCAGGCTTTCTCAGAGTGGTGCTCTACCTAGCTTTCCTCCTTGTCATGATGAGGCTCCACACGTTTCCTTTATTCGCTGTGCGGCCCATGTACATGGCATTCAAAAAGCTGAAAGGTACCGCCAAGGATCTAATCATGTCTAGGAGGGCCATAAACTACATGAACACGCGCTATCCTCATCCGGATCCCACTACTGATTTCCCAGGTTCCGCTTCCCAAGGCTTAGCGGGAGCTCAAAACCTCGAAAGTTCTCAGACGTCGCAAGAAGGCGTTGATGCAAAAAACGCTGGAGATGTACCTGGGACCTCTACCACGTTTTCTGGTTAAATTAACATAAAACCCACTTTATTTAATTTTTTCTTTTGTAAGATGTAAGTCTCAGAGGATTTTTTTTATTGGTTAAAATTCGAAAATAATTACGAATATATTTGAATCCATTTATAATAGTAAATGGTAATATATTTGATCTTTATAAATATAATTTTGTTTATGAATTTAAGATTTTTAGTAAAGTTAGACACAATCAATCGCGGTAAATTGTTTTATATATTTAATAACTTATTATATAAAAATATCAACGTTAATCATTCATTAACCTTAAATAATCTATTAACTTGTTTTTTAAACATAAAAATTTGGAGGATCTTATCGGAAATATATTCTTGCACGTGTAGAAGGATTACCCATTTCAGACAATAACCTTTTAGGGAATTTTTAATTTGACCTAAATTTATCAACAAAATTGTATTTATTCAAGAAATTATTATATATGGGAAAATGTAAATTTTTTAAAATAGACTATAAACTAGAGGACTCAAATGGGCGGTTTTTTAAACAAGAGGCCTGCCCCTCCATTGTTTTATATTTTTTTTAACTCACCCGCCCATGATATTTACTGGTAAAAATACCATGGTATTCATTTTAAAAAATTTATGTTTTATATATTCATCGCTTGCAAATCAAAAAAAAACTCTTAGAAATTGGATCAAAGTTTTATTTCGTAATTTATATCAACTCTTTTATTTTCTATATTCAGCACTCCTGTGCATAATATGCCGTGAGGAAATGAAACCCCAAGCCTACACAGCTTGCAAAAAGCTTCCGTGTTCCCACATTTTCCATTCATCCTGCCTTGCCGGATGGTTTAGGCGTCAACAGACTTGTCCCACATGCCGACTCGACGTTTTAAAGGCCCCGCCAGCCCCTGTAATCCCCGCTGGATCTTCCTTTTCTCCTCAAAATGCTAACGGTGCTAACCCAGAAACTATGCTACGTAACGCCTACCCATACTTTAATCCAGGATACAACCCACAATTATATCCTTTACCTCCTAATTTTAATCCTGCCCCGAATTTTCTAAACTTTACTCCGAACGTTAATGCAAACACAATTAACCCAAATTCTTATGGCTATCAATTTATGCCTACCCCACCTTTTCTACCTCCTCCACCATTTTTTTGGCCCTTCCCTCCCAGGATGGAATTTAATATTCCAACTAATGACTCATCGCCTGCAGCAGAATCAGTCCCTGGTACGTCATCGTCTCAAACGACAAATCCCACAGGTTATTTTTTATTAAAGGATTTGAATAAATTTAATTGAAACATTTAGACTAAAGTCCATAAACTTGGTACATGAAGCCTCCCCACCCCCCCCCCCCCCAACGACCTAAAATTTTTCAATAACCTTTTTTTAGCAGTACCTCTGCCGAGTTGATAAAAATTTTATGGGCCTTTCGGATTCATTCACTCATCCTTAAACGACTTAACTTATATTTATAATCATTCTTTTTCAGATGCTCCTAACCCCAGCTCATTTTCTAATCCCGGATTTATCCCTTCTTTCCCTACACCCCCTAATCTGGCTTCCTTGTCCGAGGAAGAATTACGAACGATGGAAGGGAACGAGAAAAGGAATCTGGAGAACAGAATTCAGTGTTTAAGGAATATACAGATACTTTTAGACTCCGCCGTTATTCAAATGCATCAATACACGACTGTCGTGACTAATTTAAGAAGTCCTGATAGTACTAATAATAATGATCAAATCTTTGGCAGAAACATTTCAAAGTATAAACATTTAATTATCTTATTAACGATTAGCTATGAAGTAGTAAATAAAGTCGAACTATGAAAGTATCAAAGTTTGCAAAAATATTGTAACAAAAATGTTAATCTTAAAACCCCTTTTACACAATATTAATTATGATTATTAAGAATTTTGCGATAATTTAAATATTTTTATTAAAGTAAATTCAGTTATTAATAAATATATAATATTATTTTAAGTGACGCAACATCCAACAGATCCTCAAAACCTTCCGTTATTACCGATGTTAACAAAAAGGACGAAATTTCGACGGCAATAACCAAAGGTGTGCCTTTCTTAATCTTTAATTTAATAAATTATTTTTCTTTCGATTGACTAATAATATCATTTTTTGGGGGATGAACAGGTATTACGAAGGGTCAAATGCTTGATTTGACTAATATTTTTTTTTAAGAGATGGGTATAAGATTAGATTAACATAGGGGCCACCATTTTCTTAATTAAAATAATTAGTCACTTGCTTCACGTTTATTTTATCCACTTACCACGCGGAAGAAAAGATTTATATATAGTATGAATGATAAATTAATTACAACTATTTTATTTTTTTCAAGATACCACTACTTCTATAGGAAATACTGATCCAGAAATCAGAAAAAGACGTTTAGAAAAATTGGAGAAAACTACTTCTTAAATTAAACGCGAATTTGATTCATTTTTTTTAATATTTATTTTATCAAATAAAAATATCAATTATTTTTATACAGGAATAATATAAAATATTTATTTTTTGGATATTTAAAATAAATCCTATGTTTTGATAAAATATGTGGTATATGTAATTTAGTAAAAGTTTTTTTATGTATATTTTTTTTTCTTCAATGATTGGCCATATTGCAAACTATAATTTAATGATTTTTTTTTTGAATTTAATTAAAAATCGGATATTTATTTGGTTTATATAGATGTTAATAAAATTAACTATCTGAAAATTGTTAAAATTCTTTACCTTGTTTTAGATCCCTGTCTGATTTTTCAATTCGGCTGTATCCATGATATAAAAATTGGGAAAATATTTATAAGTGCACCAGAAAAACAAATTAATTTAAAATTTTGCCGAGGTTCCAGTTAATTTTTAAAATATTTATAGGTATCTGACTAATTCGGAGAGACGTCCAGTCATTTTAGCCTGTCAAAAACTTCAGGGGAGGCATACATGTGATGTACTCAACAAAACCTTAACTGCTATTTTTAAGGAGTATCACATACAAAATAAAAATGTTCGCGCAATAACAGATCACGCAGCAAATTTTTAAAAGGCATTTCAGTATGCCTAAATTTTTAGATCTTCATATTCGTTAATGGAGGAATAGTGATATAGATGTTGAATATATCTAAATAGAAGATATAATATCTTTTTTCGGGTTATCCCCACTTAAGATGTTTGCGTCAAAATTTATATCATCCAATAAATCTAATATTAAATTATTTATTTATATTTTTTTAAAATTTATAACTTTTTATTTCAATATAAGATCAAATTAAAATACCATAAAAATTAAAAAACTATATAATAAAAAATACAATTTTATAATTGAGTTCCCTAAAAGGAAGTATAATTATGTCTAAAAATTTCTGTTTGAATTTTTTGTCGTATATATAGAAATTCGCCAACTTCGTTTAAAAAGTCTTATTTTATGGCCTAGATTTTTTTAAAAACTAAAAAAAAATTGTTTACAACGAACGTACAATAAATTTTATACAATCCAATAATGATTTCCCCAAATTTAAAATTATTTTTTATTAAATATAATGTTGTTATTACATCAAGTTCTCCAGTAAAACGTTTGTTCATCTATGGAAACTGATTTTTGTGGAAAAGAGGGCCATTTTTAGTCGTGAATTTTGAAAATAGTTTATTATTAAATGTAAATAAAAATTTATATGATTGTGATATTTTAATCTCGGCAATGAATATATTCTATTCTCCAGTATATTTTTTTCAATGCAATAAATTTTAAATAAATAATATATTTTCTTTTTAAATGCCTTTAATAGAATTGTAAAATTTAAAAATGTAACTGTAGCTACCTTTTTTTAAATAAGTAACTAGTGTTGTTAAACGGCTTATTTTGGGCCGATTTTTAAAAACGTCTAATATTTTATTAGGAAAAATTTTTATGTAAGGCTTAAGATTTTGCTTATAACGAAATCTCGAGGCTTGACAATATTTTTCTGGCCAAAATATTGAGTCAGCCTTTTTAAAAATTGGCTCAAATCGAGTCGTGTAACAACCCTACAAAAGTAACTTTTAACAATACTAGAGATAAGTGTATTTGTAAGTTTTCTTATATTTCTTTGATTCTTTAAAAAATACCGAGTTCATTATCACAATTAATTTTTTTAACATTAAAATCTACATATTTTTTTTTCTGTAACAATTTGAAAAAGGACTTAATCACGTGATTTGAAAAGCCCTTCGCATATTGGCATAATAATTACTTCTTTCTTCTTTATTTTTCGCGGAAGTTGCGTCTGCTCTTTCGAGCGGTGGAACGTTCTTGGGTGACGAGTTTTTGTGATCAAACCTATAAAATTCTAAAGCATTTATTTTTTTAAAAAATAAACTTTTGTTGTACTTTTTTTTAAAAATTATATGACAAAAAAAAATTATTCTCTTAAATTATGAAGTACAAATCTAACAAATTTTAAAAATTCACGAAGCATTATTTTATATAATATTTTTCGTGAGTTAATAATTTCATTTAATTGGGCGTGTAGACAGGAATTTACTGAAGTATTTTACATTAAAAAAATTTTTTTTGGAACATTAAAGATTTATAAGAACTAATGAATATAAAATTTATTTATAACCAATCATATTTAATAATGATAATTTCGAACACAAATAATAAAATTGAAAAATACAAAAGACCTAATTAAATCAGTAAAGTATTGAATTAAACATGATTAATTAAAACGTTGATCAAAATATCGTTCCGAAAATAATTTAATCTTTGTTATTGTTCGTCAATTTTTCTATAATTTTTTCTGAATGGAGATTAAATCTCGATGTATATTAAGTAAAACTAATCAATTCAATCACAAGTAATTTTAATATATTTGGAAAAAACTCCAAAATATAACTAAAATTAATCTTTCCCACCAAGATATAAATTTTGAAATTAATAGGCCCTCACATATATTTACAACCTCTGAATGAAATTTTAACTAAATATTTTTTGTTTTTAATATCAAGATTTAATGTATCCTGAGAAGAAATTGAATAAAGACTTTTGATGAACCACTCATTAATTTGAATCAAAAATGTATCTAAAAGTGGAATAACGATTATTTTATTGTAATCTTTAATTGGCCATGTTCATATTGAAACCATTTTTTGACTAAGTGCAAGTCTAGGTTTACGAATATCAAAATCATATAATTTCACCTTAACTATATAAATTTGTTATAATGGTAGATATTGTTTCTCAGTTTTCTAAATTGTAACATAATAATATTCGCGATTCTCAAAGCTTCGGCCAAATCAATATTAATTTTTTGAAAAATATTGTAGAAAATCGTGGTGCAGTTAAATAATTTATCATTACATTCCAGTGCATAAATAAAATAGGCTGTCATATTGAATCTAGTAATATATAGGGCTTTCAAAAAAGCTTCTTATAAATCCAAAATGCTGTAACAGTTAGTCACAGAAATTATTCTATTCAGCAAATTCTGTCTCTTTGGATATCTGAACTGAACATTTCATACATTCAATAAATGCTGCCATAGTTATGTAGAGATAAACCCAAATAAAAAAAAATTATGGTTAATAAAATAATCTTGTATTATCCATCAATGTTTAAGGTTTATAAAAATGTAAGAAATAAACTTAAAATTTCACAATTCATGAAAATCTTTTATATTTTTTACTAAGGGGGGTGGGGGGGGGGGGTTGCTTTGGCTACGCCACTAAAAATGTATTAGAAACTATCAGTGTAAAATAAATGATTTTATAACTGGAGTGACAAGAGATTACGAATGAAATAATTTAAAGAATAATGTTATAAATAAAAGAAAATTTAATACAATTTAATAGGTGGAGTTTAATGGTTTAATAGGTACTTTTAATGATGCCTAATATGGTACATCAGAGTCAATGAGGGGGGGGGAAGAATTATGAAGAATCGTCATTAAAAAGGTAAATTTTGATTTGATTATAAATAGTGATTTTTTTTTGATTGACATTTTTTTCTTATTTGATCGGGACTTTTTCTTTTTTTGAAAGAGAAGTCCTGTACATATTTTTTTTTAAAAAAGTATGATTATACTTCGATGAGATCTATTGAGTGTAATCTTCAATTTCACCAACTCGTTACGTACCGTCGATTTACTTATTTTAACGTCGAAAGCCTCTTTTACTTTCTTAAATTTTTTTATTATTATTAAAAATATAGTATATATATATATATATATATATATATAGTATATATATTTAAAATAATTTTCTTATCCATAATTCATAATGCAATAAAAATAATATGTAAATAAGTTTATCATACAATATTAGCGAAAATATAAAATAGAGAGACCCTGCTAATTCTAGACCAGATATTTTTTTTTAAAAAAAAGATCATCCTAAAACCCGGCCGAGAATTTTTATTTTATTAACTCTTTAGCAATGTCTTGGAGATTGATTGAAAAATAAATCGTAAAAGTTCCATTATATGATTTTCCAACTGATAAATCGTCGCTATAATTTTTTTTTAGACCCGGGTTTAATATTTAATAAAATTTTACCGTAGGGGCTTTGGTCTGGGTGGTCTCTGATAAAATATGTTGTTATTCAATTTAATGATTTTTTTTTGAATTCTATAAACATTTCGAAAAGTGGAATAATACCCAAAATAAACAATATTTTTTTTTTCAGTTATTTATGAAACATTTGTATAGCAACTTATGATATTGTCACCAATCTAGACTGCCTACTCATTAAATTAAAAAGTAAACATATATTAACCATTGAAAGACATTTAGAAATTAAAGCACAGACATTTAGGCGTAATGCCTTTAAACAGCGTCTACTACTGCAGAATAGACACTGAAATGACTTAAATATATGTACACTTTTAATAAATGTAGGATTGAAGCCAGCGTTAGTCCATGTCATTGGATGTAGTATCTAAATGACTTTCAATGATGGTGTGAGTACCCTTTTAAATAATTAAATCATCATTCTGGTTGCATCTAAAAACATTATATCTCTCCAAAGGTTCATCATATATATTTTTAAAATATTTTATGATTAAACTTTCGCAATATCGTTGAGCGTTAATTTATCACATTTTCCGGTTTCTTCCACTATCAGGGCGATGATGGGGTCCGTAATTTTCCTCATAGGAGGTTTTCCGCGTTTGTTAGGAACGGTGGCACCTGTCTTGGTGAATATCGATTTTATCCTCCTAGCCGCGGAGTAATTAATATTCAGTTTTGTAGCCGCCTCTCTTATAGTCATGCCATCCCTGTAAATGTGATCGATGAGCAAATTCCGATTTTCGGAGCTAACGAAATTGTACTATATTATGTATAATCATAAATGAATGTAATTTAATACAATTTCTAAGAGTTTTATTTATATAACTTCATAATTATTCTGCAGCTCCACGAGGTCGGCTGTTCTCAGCAATGTTTAATCAACAAAATTTTGAGCATATGTTAGACCCTGGTTCTCAGAACAAGATCATAAAATTAAATAGGATCTAATTACTTTATCTATCAAAATCTGTTCAGACCTATTTGGCTGACTAAAACATCTAGATTCCATTTAACTTTAAACATTTTAATCCCGTTTAAGAAAATTTGGGACTATAGAGCGGGGTTTGAATTAGTCCGGTTCACAGGTCCACCCTAACTGTCAAGTGGTCTCAAATTATGGGTAAGGGTTCCATGAGAATTTTTGTCTTCTCTTAGTCTTTTAAGGGGGTTCCAAGATTTTTGCAATTGCATCTCTGATCATATTACTCAAAAATACTCTCCATTAAAAATTTATTGATTTTTTAAAAATATAAACTATTAAATAATGTAAACATTTGTATTGATAATTTAATAAATAAAATAAATTTAAATATTATATATTTAAATTAATTTACCTTTTTGTTACTGGTCATTATATCAAGGTATAATAAGTATGTCATAAAGATTTTAAAAAAAACTTCAACTTCCTAATTTTTAAAATTAAACAGCAAATAATTTTAGTCCGATTATTTCATTTTGGAAAGAATAGCAGAAGAAAAAAAAATCACATGGTAGCTATCAATTGTAAAATGATATTTGACTTGTGTAAAATAAAATAATATTTTTATTGCCAAATTATTTTATTATTATTTTAATTATTTTGCTACATAAAATACAATAATTCAATACTTAAATTTACAAAAAAAAAAATTAAAATTTGTCAAGTGATTAAACCTAAAAAATAACGACATCATACAATAGGAATTTGATATTTACAAAAATGTAAAACAAGAAAGCAAATTATATGATAATAAAGTGGTTTTAATATACTTTAAATAAATATTTAATTTTTCCCCATTTGTAGGATATAATTTAATTTGTTTAAAATGTTTTTTTTATTATTTTGCAGCACGAAAAAAAATACAACTAACAAGATTTATAAATAATAAATAGATAACCAAAATACCACACTTTATCGATCGAAAAAATGAGGATGTTTATAATTTTTTGAATATTTTATTTTTATAAAAAAAATATTTATTATTAATATAATATATATATTACTATATATATAGTTATAAATTGCCCATCATTTCGATTAGAAATAATTCCGAATAATTGATCATAAATATTATTGCCTCATGTTTTTTTTTGAGATAATTTTCCACTTTATCATTCGTGAAGTTCAACCAAATTTTTATATTCATCATGATGTTAGATGATAACTCTTAAGACAGTTTAGTTTAATATTAATGAAAAGTTTTGCCACAATTAGATGAAATAGGTTACAGATTAGACATTATTAAAGAAGGAGGTGGACTTGAAAATTTTTTAAAATATTAAGAAATAGAATAAATATTTAAAATTCTAAAAAATAATTCTTTTTACAAAAGATGCTGCTTTTTTTAAAAAAAACATTATGCAGATATTTTGGCTATTTCGTGATAATAAAAAATTTGACCTGTTAAAATAATCATATCATTCTTAAGGCTGGCTAACTATGTTTGTTTTATCGATTCAATCTCTCTCCTGATGATAAGGGGGAGGGTTTAGAATAAATGTGCTGGTTTCGCTTTTATTTATTTTGTATTTTACATTATATTATTTCAATATTGTCTTTTTGTTATTATGATTTTTTCTAATTCGTAATCTTTTACCAGCTATATTTATATTACATATCAATTATTATGATGTAAAGGTTTAAAGAATTATATATTTATTGAAGCCATTATTATATTAAAGTTATCTTACAATAAATATTTAAATATTTTCTTTTGAAAAGGTACCTTTTAAATATGAAAACGTGAATTTTTTAATAAATATGTAAGACTACTGTAGTTACAAAGCCAGATTTGGTTCTATATTTAAAAAGGGCCAGGCCAGATTAAAATTTTAACAAAATAATATTGTGTAAGCCATGTAGATTGCAGAAAGGATTGAATCTCTATTTTTTAAAATCTTGAGACCTACGTAATATTATTTCGGCTGAAATTTTAATCGAGCCGTTTTTAAAAATCGACCCAAAACGGGCTTATTTAACAATACTAATGTTTACATTGATTAGGGTTCATCTTTATCCTTTGTTTTTGAGAAGAGAAGTAATTATTTTGTAAAATAGGAATTATATTACTATTATAAACTTTATGTTTTAAAAAACGCAAAAGTTACTTATTCAACCATCTATAAGGGAGACTGGGGTACGACTGACGGGAAAACAATGTTAACGCGAGTAACTTCTTGACCCTTGAGCATAAAAACTTTAAATTTGGTTTGAAGATGTATTTTTATATCTAATTTCTTAAGTTCATCCTTTGAAAATTTTTTCCGGTTTTATATATTTTGCCAAAAAATCTTTTTTTACACAAAAATTATAAAAATACTCTCTAGATTTTTTTTTGTTTTTAGGAATATAAAATTTTATATACATGTTCCTTAAAGCCCTAGCTACAAAATAAAATTTATCTGAAGTTTGTAACTTAGTTAGAAGTCACGCAATAACGATTTACACAATATATATAACCTTGGTGTAAAGTTGATATGGATAACAACGGTTAAAATGATAAGTCTGATTTAGGCTGTAAAGAGATAATTTTAAAATATTAACATCAAAAAGATACTTTTGTCCAAAAAAGGAACATTGATAAATAATTTGTGTTTTATTTGGAATAAAATTTTATGAATAGACGGAAAGGGAAGAATAAATGAAATGTACGATGTGCCCTAAAATGGGCAGCACATTCAAAATGTGCTGGCTGTGTCCTAGGTCGGCGTCATTTGGATACTTAACTGCTTTTTAGTATAGGCTAAAAAGTAATTGAAAGAGGACACCCTTGTTTTAAGTACGAAACATAAGTATACTTAAAAGCCACAAAAAATTAATTTTTTTGTATGTCTTAATTATTCCAAAATTTTTTAAAATATGCGATAATTTAAATTAAGTAAAATTTCCATAATTATATCTGAAGAATTCACATTACAATGGAACGCTGTTTTTTTTATTCGCCTTTTGTGAAATTATTTTGATTCTACAATTAATAACATATTAAATAAATTTTTAAAAAAGTGATAATTCTTTTGATTTGATATTATGTATCTCATCACTCAATCAAGGATATGTTATAGGGCTACAAATCTTTAGGATTTTATAAGCTATACAAAATTGCAATTTGATTGTTAAAATTTGGAATTAAAAGAAATTATTATGAAATTATTGTAGATCGTTTTTTAGTTAGATTTATACAAGATAATCATAATCCTCTATAATGTTTTAATACATTGCCCCCATCCAGCCCCCTCTGACACTGATTATTTTATATCAGATAAAAGGGCCTCATTAGAATATTTAAATTAAATGCGGACATTACATCATGAAATGAAACAGCAAAAGATTATTTACTGCAGAAGTTATAGAAACACATGATTTTAAAGATATCGTAAATATTATGTATAAAATAAAATTATCATCTTACATTTAAAGAATTGTAATGGTACTCAACAGCCATCATTATTGTTGTATCAATGTCTTCTTGTCAGACCTCGTTCTCTGCACTAAAATGAAGTTCTGAGCACTAAATAGCCTATGAAAAAAATAACACAAAATTTAGCATTTAATTCATTTATGTTAAAATTTAAAAATAAAAATCGTAGTATATATAGTATTATTTTGTATATATTCATACTTTAGTATTATTTTGTATTCGTATTTATATTTGCAAATTTTTGATAAAAATAACAAAAAATTTCTATCAGTGCCTAACTAATTAGTGTTTTATTTCAAAGAAATATTGCCCCCCCCCAGTAAGAAGTTCCCCCCTCCCCCTAGCAAGAAATTCCTGACTACAGCCTTGGTAACGAGTAATGCGTTTCTTTAATAAATAACCATAAAGTTATTATTATTTTTTTATAATTATACTTTTTTATATTATTAATTCTACATACTACTTGCTTAAGCAATTATTATAAGCTATTGTAGTTAATTGTAAATATATTTATAAAACATCTATTAAAACCAACCCCAAAGATGCTCATCAGGTAGCAAAAATTAATTGACCTAAAAATAGATTAAATATTTATCCATAGAAATGAGAAAAATAAAATAAAGAGAATTATATTATGGTAATTTATTAATCGATGGCATGGCATGACATTCATTTTAAGCAAAGAAATGCTTTTCGATTTCTTGATTACTCCTTTTTTTGAGTTTGGTACTCAGAAATTATTTATCACAATATTTGATAGACAAAGAATTGAATATAATATCGGCCAGAGGCATAGAGACACCCCACAGGCCTTGGTGGCAATTTTTACAAATATGGGCCTCAAATTGGAACATTTTAACAAAAAAAATTTAGTTGCCCCAATATTTTTGGCTTCTGCTCTACGCAGAGTAATAGCTGGCTAGAATCCCCTTGATTAGATAAATTAAAATAAAAACTACTATAACTACTTCTAGTATATTAGAGATTAGATGAATTCAGTATAAGCAGACATGCCCAAAAATATATAATATCTAAAGGTTAAACTATAAATAATTTGTAAAGTAAGCCAGTGCTCTGATCTAAGTAACTCATTGCTTCAGTGAATAAGGAATGTAAGCAAATATATAAAGGTGATACGACTTAAATATTAAAATGTCTAGCCCTCAAGGAACAGGAGGAATATATTCTGTCTTTTTCCAAAAGACGCTAAGATGTTAGCTATCGGTGAGACCGGGGCTAGGTAACCGCGGAGTGCCAAACCATTTAATTTTATTTCAAAATTTTTTTAAAAAAAGTAGAATGTTTAAATTTGGTTTTATTATAGCTTTTATTAATGTATCTATTATATACAATATACAATATTTTATTTTGAAATATTAAATTTTTATTAATGAAATAAAAAATTTTAATCAAATTCGAAAAATTTTTTAATGACAAAACTTCGATTTTTATTAAAAGATTACATAACCATTTATATACAAATTAAATTTTATAGCCAAGTTTAAACTTTTTTTTATAATTTGAAAAAAGTTTTTTAAGTATTTATTTTGCCTAGATATTATTTTGTTGATAACGAGTAAATTTAGAGCTAGTAAGGCTTGTTAAACCATACACATCACCCACTTTAAAAATAGGTTATAAAGATATATGAATACTTTAGATCAACGAGAATGACTAGCCATTTTAAGTTACAATCACAATCATTTTATATGATTTTAAAACAATACAATCAAGACAAATGTATAAGACTGGATCATAAGAAGATATACTCATCAGTGAATGGGCCAGCTTTATAGCATGGAGTTCAATTCTGAGCTAAATAATGGGCAGAGGCATGAGTGAAACGGAAATGATATTGCCCGAAGGGTTGGATAAATCTAATAAAAAGAAGAATGTGAAGGATGAAGCCATTTGGAAGACGTTGACTCAATTCAGACTAAGATGAAGGATAGTAGGTAACAATCGTTCCGTCACTTAGAAAGGTAAGATAAATATGAGACATTCGAAAGGAAACTTAGAAGAGGAGGCCCAAATAAAAAAAATGAAAAGATGTGATTGCGTAAGATTCACTCAGAGCTTAAATTTAAAGAAGGACATGGTATTGACAGAAACATGCAGAAGATTTAAGGGCGCAAAAAGAAATTTAACCATTCATATAATGCAATATTAATATGACACATTTAGCAATAACACACAATAACATAATATATTTCCATTATAATAAATATTTTTATAATCGAATCGATTTATTTTGTTTTAATCATACGCTTTTTAATACACATTTACACGGACTAATTTATACATTATTAACAAGCAAATGGCTAATAATAGCGGCTAATTGATTATCCCAAAAAAATTTTTTTAAAGGAATCCCAATTCATCTTTAATATATTATTTTAAGACACAATTTTTCTGACAACATTTTTAGACACGGGTTAATATAAATCTGAAACCTGCAGAGCGGCCTGGCCCTTTTGGTACCCCTGAATGTCTCTGATATAAATTATAAAAAAAGATTATTTTAAGTAAATTTTATTTATGAAAACGAGTTTAAAACAACAAAAGTCATATAGAGATAACGATTATAAAAATAGAGCGCATAGTTAAAATTTATATTAAAATAAAACAATTAAATTAAATTAGATAAAATGTGAGACGACCTTACTTGCATTGCTATATGGGAACCATGAAGAGCAATGCGATTGCTTGATAAATAGCTATCATAATGGCTTGCTCTATAGAATTTTTTCATTGCAATCGCCACTTATTTGGCTTAATTTTCCACCCTAATATTATAATAAATTTATAGGAATTCTTTATCAAAAACACTAAGAGTATTTGGAAAAAATTGGGAAAAATTATGTTAACGATATCTGATATTTATTTATTATTCTGCTTCGGCCAATTTATAAATATACTAAATGATGATAAATAATTATAGGGGAGAATATTGTTGAAATCTAAATGTCTTTTTCATTAATTTTTCCTAGTGATATATCAAAAAGAAACATTTACTATAATACGAGAAATCTTGATAGAAACATTGTAAAGATTAGAGACAAAGCAAGCACGCTACTTAAAAATTTCTAATTTTTTTTCCCTCTAAAATTCACTTTATTCTAAAAATAAATCATATAGCTCCGACTTATAAAATTTATAAATTGCAAATATCATAATTCAGAAATATTTTTATATAGAAATTATTTGTGATTTACGAATCAATTATATAATCATAATTTATTAATATACGTTATAAAAAGGTTAAATAATTATAAAAAAATAATAATTTATTTATATACATTATAAAAGATAGTAATTTAAACACGATAATATATTAAATATTAATAAAAATTATAAAATAAAAATAATATAGTTATCGATTCAGTAGTTTAACCGCGTGTTAACAAAATTCCAAGCAGGACTGAAAAAGTTCTAACATGTACTCAATGATGAGCTTTGAGAGGTGCTCCAGTGTAAGTCAAAGCGTTTTATAGAAGGACATGTCCCTTCAAAAATCTCGTAAATAAAATGGTAAGCTTTTGTTTGAAGAATTGGTATCAATATTGGTATTCTTTTTTGATATTTCTTCCATTTTTCAAATAAAGTTTTACCGAAAAACAAGATAGTCATGTAAAATTATGCTCGTAGCCGTAAATTGGGATTCTATTATTAACCAACTTTAAAACAATATACAAATAAACTTGATGAATTCCCTGTCCAGTCCCCTTAAAATTTATTCAAAATAATTTATCTTCAATATCAGAATAGCATCTTATTATGTCGCTTCATTAAACGACAATCAATTAAACAACATTCATTAATAATAAAAAAAAATAGAGAATAAATAAATAAATGTATGAATGAACGAATAAAAGAAAGAAAAACCATTTAAATATTTTAAGAAAAAATTTATTTTATATATCACAAAAATAGAATCAATTTGTTAGAGTATATATATACCATATAAAGACACCATATAATTTTCCGGACCCGTTATTATTTTTTTAAAATGATCTTTATCAGAGTTCCAATCCAAAGTTGTCGGTTTCTAAGCGGGGAGGGTGATGATCATTTTCTAATATATGCCGAATGATTATTAATTAAATGTGATATGATGACATAAATCCAAAACATTAAAAAAAAATTTTAATTTTTGTTAGAATTTACATTAGTGCCTTTCCGTTCTAACAACACATATAAGTATTATACAAAAAAATTTTACAATATGGGATTAATAAGAAGCTTTAAAATGAAATATAACGAATAATAATTAAATATATAAAATAATAGGAAGTTGGAAATATATATAAAATAATAGTTGAATTCAAAAATTTTTATCATCCAAAAATAACCTTAAAATTAAAAATTTATACCCACCAAAATGCAAAAATATATTTCAATATTTTTTTAAAGATTAATTTCTTTATCTCTAGCAGGATATTTCTAATTTGTTAATTAGATATTTTTATTCCTCTATATATCTTTTGACTAATTTACGACACAAAAATATTATTTATTAATTATTATATCTTTAGTGTTCAAAAAGCGAATTATTTAGATCGATAAAATTTTACATTAAAGAATAAAAGGATTAAAAATAATATTAAATATAAAATGCGATCTCACAGTTACTTAGATTACGATGAGAATATTTTTAAAAATAAAATAATTATGTCATAATGAATAATTTATAGCTAATAAAACACAATTGATTAATTTATAACTTTCGATTTATTTGAGATTGGTTTTCATTTAAAATGTCTTTAGGCTTAGGTTACACATCTTCCCTAGCAGCTGTGTTAGGAAACTTACAAGATATAACATCTAGAATCACGGAAAACACATCTCCAAAAATAAAAGAAACCAGGAAAAAATTGCTAGAATTGACAAATGAATGGAGAAACAACATAGCGGAACATTCTATAACCTCAAGCAAATACACTCATCTATTGAAACCTAAAAAAAAGTGGGAACTATTTCTCATATCGGCAGTCATATGTGGCATAGAGTTGGCTTATTCAGCCGAAACAGCATTTGTCACACCCATTTTGCTGAAAATTGGCATTCCAACTTCTTACATGTCTCTTATATGGTGCCTTAGTCCAATCCTTGGGTTGATATTGGTGCCTATCATGGGATCGATGTCTGATAATTGTCGTTCTAGGTTCGGTAGGAGGAGACCCTTTATATTCTTTCTCTCTTTAGGAATAATCTTGGGTCTGATTCTGGTGCCTAATGGAAAGTACCTAGGGGCCATGTTAGGAGGCGGGAGATATGTCAAGGATTCCGAGACACCCTTGGAAATTGCACACAACCATGGTAATAGCAACATTATTTCAAATAAAAACAAATTCTTTATTGCCAATGGGTCCGATTACTATTATGATTATTATTATTACGACGATAACATCACTACAGAAAACAAAAGTGAAAATGTTTTTAAAAATATTATCGAAACTTCCACATCATCCTATCAAATATCAAGACAAGTCCGTATAACAAACATTGTTGACAAAGGAGAATTTGAGAGCATCCAAACTAAGGAAAGAGTGGTCACTAAAGATAAATTGTACTCATCCAAAAGATCTAAGGTACTATCAATACTTGTAACATGCTTAGGAGTAATCATTTTGGATTTTTGTTCAGACGCGAGTCAGTCTCCCTCAAGGGCTTATATGTTAGACGTGTGCTTACCTGAACAACATACTATGGGTTTGAGTGCTTTCACTATATTTGCCGGGGCGGGTGGATCTTTTGGTTACATGTTAGGCGCTATCGATTGGGAGCATTCTGATTTCCTTAAGAACAAAAGTGGAAAAATGTTTATGGATCATTACAGGATAGTGTTTGGTATTATATTGGTGCTCTTCATCGTGTGCCTCATTGTAACGCTTAATAGCTTTAAGGAGTTACCACTAGATGGGCTGATATACGATACACCCCCTAAAAATAAGTTTTCATTAGCCGCTATAAAGAGATATATCCTTGGAACTAATGTATATTCTACACTGGATAATAATATTGAAAAATCATTTGTATCTATGAGTCCTGTTCTTGCAACTCCTCCTAAAGTATCTACAACTATCGATAATTTCAACGAATTTCACAAAACAAATAATTTTTCCCTATATAATAAAACTCTTTCTGAAGATGCCAATTGGGAAGAAATGTCCGATACAAGCAATAGTAACAATCTTTATGAGGATAATCTGCAAGCTAAGGTCAAAAAAGTAAAATCTCCTGTTTCTCTGAAGTCTTATCTCAAATCAATAATTCGCATGCCCAGATTTCTAAAAATTCTTTGCTTAACCAACTTGTTTTCTTGGATGTCCTTAGTCTGTTATTCCCTGTACTTCACTGACTATGTTGGGCAACACATATTTAGGGGTGATCCTAAATTTCCAGAGAACTCCCTCATCCATAAAACATATGAAAAAGGTGTTAGATTTGGGTGTTGGGGTATGGCATCTTACTCCATGACCTGCGCCGTCTATTCCTATTATATAGAAAGATTGGTCAAAAAATTTGGTTAGCTTTTTTTTTATAATCTATCCCTCTCCCCTTACCCCCTTTATGACCTTATTAAATGCTATGGATAAGAGTTGGGAATATAAATTACTTATTATAATTTTTAATGATAATTTATATTTATATATAGGCTACATTTTTTTAAAAAAATATATTATAAAGCAAGTTGTAACACAAAAACTTAATTTGAAACATTTTGACAAATTGAAATTTATAACCTTTTATATATATAAAAAAGAGGAAAGATTAAAAATAAATAAAATTAAACGAATACGAATTTGGTGCTGGCAAAAAAATATGCAATTTGTTCTTAAATATCATTTTAAATTGATAAAAAATTAATATGCCAACATTCCTTCTCCCATACCACTTCCAGATATATATAATAAGTGATTATAATTACCATTTTTTTTAGAATAATTAATATATATTTTGATAATTATGTGAATTTGTAAAATATATCAAATAACAAATAAGCTATTTTCCCCTGTTAATACTTACGTGAATAAAAAATTTATAAACATATTAGCGTTGTGAGAATACTCACAACTTACGACTCAGAGTTGGAATAAAGGTCAGAAAAATTAGCTCGATTTCGAGCATGAGTCAAAAAGAAATTGATCCAGACCCGAAGATAAAACTAATAAGTAAAATCCAATGAGCAAACTCAATTAGAAGACCCAGAACTTTGGGCTGGGCTTGATATTGTAAAAATAAATGAATAGAGTTTATACGGCTCCAAATTCAAGTTGAAGTCGTAAAAAAAGGCTTAAACTTTGGATTAATGGGCTGAATCGCGAATAAATATCCTAAGCCGAATAAGTCTTTATTCAAAAGGATTCGGCTAGTTAGCCTTTTAATTCATTTGGGTTTATATTTATTATCTGATATTAATTTAATTTACCCATTCAATAAGTTATTTGCTATTCGATTTTACCTCAAAATCCTTCGACCCAGCCCAAATTTGTAAAAAAAAATTCTAAAAAAATATTAATTTATTTTAAAAAATATTTTCCTCTGGCTTAAATCTGAGTCAAATATCAAATAGAAACGTAACCTGGTTTACAGTTTATGCGATCTTTTAAAATAATTCCCCATATTGGTAAAATAATTTTAATTTTAATTTTAATAAATATAATTAGAATTTTAAATTTTTGATGATTATTCATTTTTGGTAATAAATAGAAGAAAAAAATATAGTTAAATAAAAATATTAAAATTATCAAAGGATTATTTATAATATATACAACTAACTTAGAACTATTAATTCTAAAAAATCGTGCTACTATAAAAATTTTTTTACTATTTTAAATCCTGCCCAAAAATCAAGGTTTGCTAGTTGGGTTGGTCTTAGGGTTTGGGTAGGATATTTTTTAACTCGTGTTCGAATATGGGTGAATATATGCCACCACTCCAACCCTGATCCGATTAACTGCTTAAAACAACCCTTTTGCACTTTAACAAAACTAAGTACTAACATTCTTTTACATTTCTAAAAAATAAATATCTTATTATCACAAACTATGAAAACATAATGATGCTCTAATTCAGGCTTTATTTATATTTTAATTTATAAATATTTCAACATTTGTCTTCATTTTTAAGTTATTTTTATTAAAATTAATCCTTTTTTTTAAGCTTAATATGAACAAAAATATATGGAATAGCTTTAAAACATCCCTATCCACTTCCGTATTTTTTGTTAATCTTCTTTTTTTATTTATTAAAGCTTATTAATTCTAATTATGGTCTTAATAGGTGCTAAAAAGGTTTATGTCGGAGGTCAACTAGCTTATTCTGTAGGAATTTTGGTAATGGCCTTAGCTAGAAGTAGATTCTGTGTTATAGCATTTTCAATTGCCCCTGGTATTATGTACGCCACATTATTTACCATGCCGTACATTCTTATCACTCACTTCCATCAACAAGATTGCGTAAATTCGAAATAATTCTCTTTTTTACATCCATAATTATTTTATTTATTTTCTAATAAATTTAACTTAATTCATGGATATAATTTTAATGAATAATCTTAGAGTTTTATTTATCTAACTATCAGGTGGATGAGAGCGAAGATAACAAGGAAATAAACGAACAGCTCCGTGGATTAGGAACTGATATAGCAATTGTAAGTAGTATGGTATTTTGGGCCCAATTTATGCTGTCATCTATAATAGGAACCCTAGTAGATAAATTTAACACAACAGCCATAGTTCCTTATCTGGCTTCGTTTCTCAGTTTTATGGGTGCTATGTGCGCGTATCGCATAAATTATCCTGTCGGAATATAAGCAAATTCTATTTGAATATAAGCACAAATTTTTTTTTCGAGGGTGTGGACACGCCATTTCATGTGTTTTCTTTTCTATATAATATATTCACTATATACATATATAATTAAAAAATTTGTAGACTTTACAATTAACTTATATTAAATCTTCTATAAAAAAAATTCCATTAATTTATTATTGTAATTTATATTAATAATAAATCGTATAACATATAACTATAAATTGGATTCTAGTATATTTAAGAATTGTTATTATATATTTTTACACAAATAGAATATACTCGTAAAATGTAGATAGATATAGATACTTATATTATTATGTATTTTAAATTTTATTAAAAATGGAGAAAACTTTATTAATAAAAACTATTTCTAAAAGCTAGCTGATTTATTTTCCTAGTCTTCCCGAAAAAAATAGTAAATATCAAATTGAAAATAAATTTGTTTTATGCATTTATATTCAATAAAACGTAGTTTGCATTATTTTCCTCTATTTCTATAAAATAAATTTTAAATGATAAAATCCTCATTTTTTTTTAAAAAAAAACATATGTTTTATCAGTTTAGGCGAACATATGAAATGCTTGTGAATAGTGCCTTTAGTCTATTTTAATCGTAAATTTGCCTAAAATAATATTTTTTCTTACTGAATATTAAAATAATTAATTTTCAAAGATTATAATAGGTCTTAGTATTAGTACTTTCATTTGTTCCGCCAATTTCACAAAGCTGTGTGAAGATTTAATAAGAAAAAAAATTAATTGTATAGAATTATCCAGTTAAAAATTTATTATAAGCGGGACCTTGCTTAAGGCCGGGCAAAAAAAGAATTTGAGATCCCCATTAGTAAACTAAAACCTCCTCTCAAAATATTAGGGGACGCTACAAAAAAGGTAGGAATAATTATATATAATTAGTGATTTATTTAACCTATATATCAAATTTGTCTCATAATATTTAAAAGCTGTAGTACAAAATAGATGATTTAGGTTATGAAATACTAATGAAACATATTTATAATTTACAGCATTAGATAGAAAAAAATCATTTGCGATATAACAATCAAACCATATAGACTTTTTTAAATAATGTTAAATTTTAAGCTATATATCAACACATATATCGCAATTATTCTGTTAACTGACATACCTCTAATAAAAGGCTACGTCACTAATATAAATTATAAAGAATCCGCTCTATATAAATTCTTGATAAATTTGTGGTATAACAATAGGAGCTCATTATTCACGGTTAAACCGAGTGCCACTTTTCCTGAATATATTGACATAGTGTACGATCTAGAAGATGTCACGCCAACTGGCAAGCTTCATTCAATCTCTAATTCGAGTAAGATAGGTAAGCCTATATCTTACACCTACAGATTAAACAATTCCATGCATGACCAATTAAAATCGTTGTGGGATCAATTAAAGGCAAATGTTTCTATCGAATCTTCCGGAACTATTTATTCTTCGGAGCAAAATTTTAAAAACCCGCCTATCGTAAAACCGGAGTCAATAATCTCGAAGAGGAAATCGAAGAAAAAATTTTACACTGTATCCCCTCTAGTAGGTATGGATTTTACTGGTCATCTTGACCTGTTTCAAGCCTCTATAGAAGAAAAAACAGATTTATTGTCACATTTCAATTGGATGAACTTCGAGGATAATGACATGGAGAGTAAGAGGGAACTGTACGATTTCATAGCGGGATTAAAGCAGTGGAAATGTTGCCAATTGAAAAACTTACACTTGAGCGATTGCGTTTGCCCCAACGATAAAGATACACTTATTCATATGGTAGTAGCCAAATCAGTATACGAAGAAATAAAAACTCGAGTTAACCCTGATCAAATAGGAAAGGTCTTAACCCAAGTGGGATTTTATGATGAATCTAGAAATGATAATGATTTAGTGAACATCTTGCGGAAAGTAGTTGGTATTTATACAAAGGCTAAAGATATAGCCAATAGGGATAAGAGTTCATTGGGCAACCACAAAAGTGTAGGCTATATTAGAGCCAAAGCAAATCCTTATAATGATACTGTTGAGGTAAAACATTTAAAAGCTGTAAAAAAGCAAGATTATTCGGAAATAGAATTGATGGAAAATGTACAGAAATTTCCTATTTCTGATAAAGATTCAAAAATCGCGCTAAACAATCTTCTAATTATGGACCCCCGAAAAGGTTATTTTATTTAATATTTTAAACGGCAAAAAATCCTTGTATTTACATTTACAAGGTTTTTCTTTGTTTTCGAACAGAAACACTCATTATGAGAGCAAAAGATTTGTACACAACACTTGCAAAGTCTACAGCTAGCAAAAAATATTTCCGAGTATGAATTTTTGTGAGAACTTTCTAGGCTTTGTTAATGTAGTGATTCGACTTTATAATTTGTCACTAATATTAAAAGGGTCAATAATTAGCATGAGAGAGTTCAGATAAGGAATATTCTTGATGAGTGAAATAAGAAATCTCTTTTTATTTAATAGTAAAGTATAATCTTTTTTTAACCTGTTTTATATAAGACAAAATGTAAATAAATATTAGGATAGTGTTAAATAGTCAATTAACAAACAAACAATGAATTTCAAATTTTATAAAAATAATATAATTGACTGGTATAAGCATAATTCTATAGTAGTTAATAAATTTTTACCTAAAATCTTAGCCTCTTTTAATTTCTTACAATAAAACTATGTTTATTTTTAAATACATTGTGTTTATTTATATGTCAGTCACTTCATCATAGATAGGAATAAAAATGTCACTACTTCAATTTTTCCCGTTCATTAGAACTTTTTATATTTTAAAATTTAATTTAAAATACATACCAATTAAATATAATTAAATTTAGTTTGCTTCCAAAAGCTTGACTCATTTCACGCTTAAAGTGTGACGTAGTAGTTTGCATTTTCTTTTTCTTTATACTGCCTATGAATTTCTCTAAATATCTCCAAATGTGAGATTTGATAAGCCTGGCATCCGCTCTCCCCCTTTATGCCCATAGATAATTTTACCCATCTAAACTATGTTATAAGATAAAAGGAACCGTTGAATTTTTTATACCAAACACTCTAAACAACTTACCTTATTAAAACCATTTCCCATTCACTAGCTTTTTTACTAAAAACTTTTTTAATACACCTAAAATTATATATGCAAGGAGATCCTTGCCTATTTCCAAGAATAAGGATCTTCTGGTCTCTTATAAACTTAAAATTAAAGACCTACTGGAATCATTTTTAAATAAAGTTTTCGGTTTCACCTAGCTACAAGTCACTTTTCCATGTAAATCCGATGAGATTAGCACCCGCGTTACAGGTTTTCATTTCATACTATCTAATCATTCTTCGATATCTCATCCCAGAAGACCATTTCATCTTAGCCAACACACCTGGGACAAAAAAGGCTACCATCACACAGACTACCTCCGATGCCTATAAAGAGTGGGATTCTCTACTTATGGCCTGTACCTCCTTATGAACGGCCACCTTAAGCTGAACCCTAATTCAATAATTTTAAAGCTAAAATAGGATGTAAATGACTCTTAGAACCTCTGTTGTCCTCCATCTAAGATGTAACACAGCAACATCAATTAATTATTGATTGTGGAAAATTAATAGATAAGGGTCACCACACTTTACACTGCAAATATTTTCACGAATGGCCACACCTATAGTTCTAAAAGACCGGATGGTATCACCTAAAAAAATGACTTAGGTGCATATTTAACTAAGACTAATTTTTTATTTATAACGAAAATAAAACATAAATGTATCAAATCAAAACTTTGAGTGAATCCCGTTCTAAGGATTTCTGGTGAAACTGGGTGAGATTTAACGCTTAGATTACTTTCCAAAAATGTCAATTTGAGAACTTTTCTATCAAAAAATAAAAGCAGTTTCAAATAAACTTATTTAAGTATATTAAAGAGGTAGCCAACTTAATTTTTTATTGAATAATGTAATAAGTAGAATAAAGTTCGGCATAGTCCGGCTAGAAATTTTTAAAAAGGTTTTTCGGGTCTGCCAATAAATAAAAACCGACCCGGTTGGTATAATAGTGAGAGTTGGCCCGTATTCGTAAAAAGAAAACTATCATAATATGGACTTTGTTAGAATGATGAACCCCATTGACATTATTTTGTTCGAATTGAAAGGGTAACAAAGCATAAGTGTTGCTTACACATTTTTTTTTGTTAAAAAAGAACGGAGTCTATCAAATACTATCTAATAATTGAATATCAAATAAATTTTTTATTTTAAATTCAGCTAAACAGCGTCCAACTATTTCCCTCTATACGACCACTGTTTGTATAAAAACGACTAACCGATACAAAGCCATTTTGAGGAGAAGAATGGAAGCACTAGAAAGAGAATTGTGGTTACAATTATGCGAGTTACGAGACAGAGAAGGTAAGATAATGAGAAGTGTTTACCTAGAAAATATGTCTGAAGAACGGGTTAAAACAGCAAATTATATGAGAAAAGTCGTAGAAAATTTGAAAAACAAATTGTCATCGGTACTACTCAAAAAGAAAGCGCAATTAATGAAGTCTCCTAGAAAGCACCTCGTGGTTAAGGAAGAGAAACTAACTAACGAAGTCACCGAAATCGAGAATGAGTCGCGCGACAGAGTCATGAATATGGCTAATTGGAATCTAAAATTGAAACTTCACGAAAAAAATTTGTTATGGAAGATACACAGGTTGAGGGAAATGATAAAAGAAATGAGCTGACTTTGTTTTTTGAAAAGATTTCATTTTAAAGATAGATTTTGTAAATTGGACGAATAATAATATTCGTTAATAAAAAATAAGTCAAAATGAAGTCACATTGTTAAATAAACGCAAAATACATTATAATATATTTTGATAATTGTTATAATAAATAAAATTAAAAATATTATACACAACTGATTCATTGGTGGCATTAACTCCCTCGACAGGCAGATAGAAATCCTGAAATCCCTATTTCCCAACCTCATAGGATTCTTTACCCTAAGCTAATCATTCTATTATAAATTATTTATTTTTATCGCCATTTAAAATAAATAGATATTTATATATTTTTCGAAATATTGGTAAATTTTCAGTCCAAATCAAATATTTCCAGTTCTGGCATTTCGATTGGTTGTGGGAAGATGATAGGATGTAGCTTTAAAAAATGATGAAGAAATGATAAAAATAATGCTAATAATGCTGAATAAATAAAAATTTTACACCGATAGCAAAAATTTGATTTTTATGCCATTAATATTCATTGTAAGCGAAAGTTTATTTTATAGGCATAAGTATGATTATCAAAAAAGGCACACCTCTAAAATATGAAACAATTAAGGAAAATTATGTCTCAAAACAAAGTTTGAAAAAAGGAGGATTGGTTTTTGCTCAAAATTTTTTGAAGATCACAAAATTGAACATTTTGTTTAAGAAGATCAAAATCATATTTTATTTATGATTTCACTATGAAAGATTTCCTATGCATAAAAATAGCCAAGATTTCATTTATAAAAAAATTTGGAATTTTAGGTTAAATACTTTTCTATTTTTTAAAAAATCTTCAAAGATTAAGTATAGCTCTTTTTTAAAAAAATAAATTTATTTATAATCTAAGCGCTGTCGCGATTAACAATCAATGTTAACTCCAGAAACAATTTTCGACAGCTAAGATGATCAAAATAACGAAATTTTAAAAATTTCTGAACAGGTCATAAATATTTCTAAAATTGGCTAGATCCAAAAACGGGCAGGACTTGAAAATAAAATTTAATATCTAGGCCAGGACCAAAATTTACACCTTGACAGGTCACTGATAATTTGCCCGTTTACCTATTTTTTGTTTTTGAAATAAAAGGAAGAAGTTTACTATGAGTTGAAATTTAGGAAAGATTTGTTCATAAGGCGGTTTTATCAAAGTAATCTTTTGGTTAGCCTCGTTGTCGGATTCCTTGATTATTCTGTGTGCACGATTTTTTTTTATAAGTATGAATATTAGTTGTTTTAATCCCATTAAAAAAATCTCAGATCCTCCCTAGCCCAAATCAGGTTCTTGGTTTATTCAATAGAAATAGAGGAATGGAATGAGCCAATAGAAAGAGACCCTAAGGGATAGGCGATTACTAAGTAAAATATATTATAATTTAAAAAAAATAATAAGACTCCAATAATTCCTTCCATTTATTTCAAAAGATATTTTATTTAAAACAATTTTGACTAAATACGTTTAAGAAATAATTTAGTACGATTCTACAGAAAGTATCATCTATTTATATATTAAAGTTTATCAAAATAATAGTCACATTATAATAAATGAATAAGAGTAAGGTACTTTTTTGAAATGAAGGAACAGGGATTAAAATGCCAGAATGGTTCATCACGTATAATTAAATCCAGATCATGGTTCGGGATGACGTTAAACTCGTTAAAAGAAAAACAACTCTTAACCTGATCACTCAATGCTGAAATATCGGGAATCGTCTCAATCCTCGTGAATGAGTGCTAAAATAATTAATTTTACCAATATAAATAAGGATAACTAATTGCGATAGCTATTTTTTTTACATAGCTTTTCGATCAAATTTATTTTAATAATTTACGTTGAGATTGTGATTGGGCATTTTGGTCGAAATCAAAAATTCGAATAATTTGGTCTGTTTATAATGAAAATAGAGAAATATAATGTGAAATATTTAATTTATTAAAATGACACGATATAGAAATTTACTTTTAAAATTTCATTTTGGAATTCTTTGATGTACTCATCGGAAAATACGTGCCAGGAGCCTATAACACAGAATTTGCCTCCACTTTCCTAGAACAAAATATAGATATAGGGTATAATCTGTGTAATTATGTGACATTATAATAAAAGTGTTTCCTAAATGTATCTTGAAAAAACTATTCATTTGAAAAATATCTTTACTGTATGCCATTTAAACTGATACTCTTTATTTTGGCAATAAATCTGCCAGTTCTAAAAAAATTCATTGAAATTTATAGATTGACAATGGGGTAAATTATCAATGTTTTCTGGAAAATTTCATCAAATTCTATCAACAAGTTATGCATATTCAAAGTTGGACAAACAAAATTCGAACTTTTCAACATGTGAAAATACTTTTATTTTATTGAACTTTACATTTAAGCAGACGATAATAAAATAAAATAGTTTTCAGAAAGATGACTTGAGTTTTGATTAAAATTTTAAGACAAGAACCTTAAGGAGCCAAAAGGTATTTTAAGGAATTTTCTAACAGAAATTAGTGAATTGATTGATTGCAAATATTGATGCCACCGGATTAGCAGAAAAACGGTATGGTGGTGGTAGACCACACACAGCTCGTACAAACAATCGTATTGAACCAAGAAGACCGACCTGGCACCCAAGAACGAGGTAAAAACTTCAGTACATCGGATTATCGGCCAAGAACTTGAGCTGAAATGTTTAAAAAAAGAAGCATGCCCTACATTAATATCGCCCGTCTGGTACGTACCAAGAAACTTCTATAATACCCTCAGAAGTTAGTTCATTTTATATTGTTCACTGATTAAACGCTGTTTACAGTAACTCCAAGATAAATCTGATAATAGGATGTGCCTGTCAATGAGAAAATAGCTAATCGATTACTTTATACTCATTCAAATCTCTCAAAACCCGTCATGGTTATCAAGTCTTGGCTGTACAGTGCTCATTCTTCATGATCCAGGGGTTAAAATTAATAGTGCAAAATATAGTGACGTTTTACTAGGCGAGCCCTCATTGCCTACTATTTAAAAATTGTCGGGAATATTCCCCCAGGACTCCAGCTCACCCAGCCAGGGAAAATGCGAAACTGCTTTGAAGAGAAACCTAGATTTTATTTCACCCATTCTGTACCCTACCCCCCCCCCCCCCATAGCCCTAACCTCAATCCGGTCGACTATAAGATATGGAGCGTCTTTCGAGAACGTGACGTTGGCCATCTCAAACAGCGACTCCGGAGGAATGGAATCGTTTTGATAAAATTATTGATCGTATGGCGAGAAACTTTGGACCATGTTGATAGAAACTGTAGAAAACAATGCTAATTTATCCCTTTCTCAATCTATAAAATTTAATTGAATTATTTTTAGAATTGATAGAATTATTGCCAAAATAATAATGCAGAGAAAAAAATTATCATATTTATTTTGTAATGACGTATTTTTTCAAGATTTTTTAAAAATGGAATATAATAACTAATTGTTCATTTCATTAAAAAAAATTTTGAAAAAAATATTTTAAAAAGCTTTAAGGTGAGTTAGATTTTGTATTAACAAACAAAAAGTTACCACCAAAAGTGGGTTATATTTTGGCCTAGCGTGAATGAAAGGGTTAATATTAAAAATGCTTATTTTCTGTTTACTTTCAGACTTTCGTAATCAAAATTATCCGAGAGGTCGTAATTAACATATAATTCTAAAACACGTTTTGGAAACTTCCAGAACTTATTTCGTTCTTTATTTTTTTTAAATAATATTCCTATTTTATTCCCTGGTTTCACTAAAAATATGGCACTTATGGGTTGCTGAATGTTCAATGTCCCTACTATTTTGTAATGTTTCTCGAATTTCATTTTTTTTAAAAATTAACTTTGTCGATATGCAAGGCGCAAATACAAGAATCGGTAGGGAAGCAAAATTTTCCAGTGCCAAGAATTGCATAAGCCCTCGAGTCGTCGATGGTCAGTGTGACACCATATGGATAAATGAAGGAAAAACTGAGTTTGAGAAATTAATATTTTTTTATATATTTAGAAATAATATTATAAATAATTTGTGAAATTAATCTTGGAGTATAAATGCAGGGTTATCAAAATGGCTAACCCACAATTTTAGCCAAAAAATATTATGCAAGCATAATGATTTTGCTCATATATAACAGAAAATTATGGATATCTATTAAACAAATCTCGAGGCCTGAGTAAATATTACTTTGGCGAAAAATCTTAAGGATGCCACCATGAAATGTATTTTTATAAAGATTTTCGCTCAATTTTAAATCATTTATTAAGAGCTTGAAAATCTGAGTTTCATCCAACTTTTCATATAGATTTTTCATATATAAAAACATTTCCGGAAAAATCAAATTTAAAAAATGGCCCTCTAAATTTTGGGAGATGGATATACTCTAGAAAAATATCACAACATTGATAAAAGAGTTCTATTATATTTTATGGGTCTAATAACTCAGCTCAGCTAAAGCGAATCGACTTGAGCAGAGCCGTGTGAAACATTACCTTTAAATCAGAGTTTACAGTCTGAACTGAAAAGCAGATTCATTTACATCGATACTCAACTGGCAACTGTACTGAAAAGGGCCATACTTTCAATTTTTATAAATGGCGAACAAATTATTATTTAATTTTCCAAGATTGTTTTATTAATAGTATTTCGAAACTAAGCTTTGCGGAGTGTTTTTATTTATTTTTTTTTAAAAAAAATTGTTTAAATTGAAGCGGAAATATGGGAAAGATAAAATTAAAAACATTTTTTTTAAAAAAAACTTAGTCAAATGACAAATATTTTTTAAAAAAAACAGAGATGTGAACCCGAACCCTTTTTAAAAGTCGGGGGTTCAAAGTATCAAAAAATCAAAAAATTTCCTAAAATAATATATTTTATAAATACTAAAAAGAGATTTTATTTTGGTGGAATCATTTCTCATTTTCTTCGAATTTTTAAAAATTTTCAAGTTTATTTTGTGGGTAATATTTTATTATAAATGTTAATCTAATATGCTATAAATAAAAATACATTGCTTATCTTGTTTATAAAAATTTTCAGTTTATTTTGTCTGTAATATTTTATTATAAATGTTAATCTAATAAAATAAAAATATATTGCTTAGCTTGTTTATATCAATTTTAGAAAGTAAAATACAATTTTTCTAGATTTTAAATTAAAAATATGTTTGGAACATGTTATGATTTGTTTTTGGTTAAATGAGGCATATAAAAAAAATTAAGTTATATTATTAATATTAGGTCAATATTTTTTTATGCTCTCCAAACCCTAAACCTAACATTACTATCCCTAAACCAGAACCTGGCCCTTTTTTTGGCTATAAGGTTGGCATCCCTGTTAAAACTCAAATATTTTGTAATTTCCGTGCCTAAAAAATTCTTTCACAATGAAATCACAAATTTATTTTTTTTAAAAAATCTTAAAAAGATTTATACTCAAAAAAAAAATCAAGATTTTTTTAAAATAATCCTTATTATAAAATACAAAAAAATAAAAGGTTTAATGTAGGATCCCATTTGACTTAAAATACAAAATCTGGAGAAAAAATGCAATAAACTTTTCAATTAAGACACATTAAATCTCACTAAATTTAACTTCCTAATAATTATTTTTTGATTATCCATCTGTCTGGCCTCTGCCTTAATGGGGGGTTTAGCCACGATGTAAAAATATTCAAAATTTGTGAATATTTTTTTCTTCAAATGGCAATTCTGAAGAGAGAAATGTTTTTTTGGCCTGGTTTCAAAGGTTCTGCTATGTTTCCAAACTGTTTCATAAATCATCAAGATCAGATTCGGTCATCTATGCACTGCTGGTATATTTTTTTTATTTTATAATCTATCTTACAATCTAAAATACTGCTAATTATATCTTTACCTTACAATTGATAATTCAATTTTTATTTTAAATATTACTCACATCACACTGTAAATGTAATATATACTCTATGCACACTAGTGTTGTCATGGCCCGATTAAGATTTTCACCAAAATAGTATTATGTAAGCATCAAGATTTGGCAAATCGAGGAAGAAATCTTTCAGCATCTATGAGCAAAATTTCCATGTTTGCATAATATTATTTGGCTAAAATTTTAATCAGACCGTTTTTAAAATAAACCCAACGAGCTATTTAACAACACTGGTACACTCCACTATAAATTAACTTTAAAAATTAGAGGTGCACTGCACTGCACTCCTTTTTTGGCCAATACCACTTATCTTGAAATTATTGTTATTTGTGTTATTATGTTATTTAAATGATTAATAATAGCCAATAATAAAAATATTAAGGAGGCAATGTAAAGAAAATCTTGATATTTTTAGTATACACCCTTAAAATTCTATAACTAAAATGTAACGAGACAAAAAAAAATTTGCATTTCTTAAGATTAAAAGGAGAACATGAATTGAAATATTTATATTATAAAATAGTTTACTCTATATTTAATTAATATCTCTTCTAACTAAGTCCCAACCTGCATTTCAGCTATATAACTGTTGATTTTATCCAAATTTTAAATGACAAAATATGATAATTTCAATAATAATAATTTATCACATTTCCAAATTCTATAATTTTGGGAAGTGTCCTTTCAGACACAAAAATTTTAATTCTATTAATAACTTACATTTAATATGATCAGTTATTCCTAAATCAATTAAAACTACCTTAGGCCAACAATTCCTTAAAATATTTAACAGTTAATATTAAAGGATTGGGATCACCCCTACAAGAACTATAACCAAAATACAAGTTGTAATTTGGAGACAATAAAACTATTGGGAAAAAACCAAGAGGGCATACAAAATATTTTGAAAGTGATATAAGCAGTGTGATACAAAGAATACCATAAAAATTTATGTGTATTGCAAGGATTATTTTAGTAAGCAAGCATATAGATCTTGCTTTTAGCAAAAGTTCAAGTTATGTCATTAAAGTTATCATAAAACTTATTATCAGGTACATAATACATATTTCTTTCCTGATTTTATAAATTTAATATCCAGTTTGGTATAATAATTAGAAAAGTATTAAAAAGTTATGAATATCATATACTGTATTTCATCTGGTTCACTATTTTCTATGTCAGGGTTTGATTCGTTGAAACATCTATCACTAAAAATATAAATATTATGTATACTTAATATATAAAAATTTTAAATAATGATGAATTCCAAGTCAAAAACTATTGATTTTCAATCCAACCTCCTCAGAATTTTTTTTTATAAAATTATAATTATTTATAAATCTTACATGTTTTTATTATAATGAATCACTGCTTCTCTAGGATGCAGATTTTTATTTGCAACCAATGATATTACATTTTCATAATTGTCTTCACTATTTTTTAAATTTATACCAAAATAATTAATTAATTTAGTCAGATTGTTTTCTTTATAATTATTTTGCCCATTTATAAAGCATATGAATGTTCCTCCTGTGTTTATAAATTTTTTGATACTTTCAATCTAAAATTAAGTAGCAGTAGATATAGAAAGTGGGTAAAATTACTTCAATATGCTGAATATCTGAGTCAAAATTAATTGCATATAAAATGTCTTTCAATTCTTTAGGATATTGTTGAATTCTTGAAGATAATATAATACATAATTCAAAAATTTTTATTTACATGTGAGTTTTATATATTTCTTTCAAACTTTTCAAAAAATATTTAAAGCTTGCAGCATTTAAATTATCATTTAATTTTACAAGAATCTCCTTAGACTATAGTTATCCCAATAATAAAAATAATAAAATTATATTACCATTCACAAATTTTACACATGTTTTCGGTGTAACTAAACTGAGAATTAACATGTAAACTGAGAATTGACAGGTAAACTGAGAATTGACAGGTAAACTGAAATTGACAGGTAAAATTTATTTTTATTTTATTGTTATTGTTGTTAATATATAATTTAATATATAATTTGAATACTTTTACTTTATGACTTATGACCTTTTGTAAAATACATTTCTTTATTTTTGATAACCTATAATTTGAATATTTTTACTTTTACTTTTTGTAAAAATCTTTTCTTTATATTAACGTTAACATGTAAATATAAGTAAAAATTGTAAGTTTATCAGTTGTAATTTTTGAAATAAAAGAAGTTAATAAATAAATTAAACTTTTTCTACTTTTTTAATACCTGCCTTCCTTGTGTTTATCAGTTATCAGATATCAATTATTTTTAAATATATAAATAAAATGTTTTTAAAGTAAAAATAAAATCTATCCAAAATTAAAATTATTTAAATGTATAAATTAGAATATAGAAGATTTTGTAGTCCATAAATTTATAATATGTATAGAACAGATCTATTATATAGAAAAGATAACACCCATAATAATTTTATGTATCATAAATAAAATTCCGCAAGATGGCGTAAATAATTAAAATTTTAATCTTCGCTCTGGATTAATTGATTTGGTACCAACTTATATAAACATAAAATGAAAAAATCTTAAGTTTCCATCATTATTTTTGGAGTTATGATGCGGATTCTCAGTTTAGTCAATTTTTTAATTTTTTTTAAAATTTTTGGGATTTTAAAAATATTTTATTTTTTTTTCACTGATTTGGTGTAAACTAACTTATTTAAACATAAAATGAAAAAATTTTTAAGTTTCCATCATTATTTTTGGAGTTATGATGCGGATTCTCAGTTTAGTCAATTTTTTTTTTAGATTTTTGGGATTTTAAAAATATTTTATTTTTTGACTCATTTGGTGTAAACTAACATATATAAACATAAAATGAAAAAAATTTTAAGTTTCCATCATTATTTTAGGAGTTATGTGGATTCTTAGTCAATTTTTTAATTTTTTTTTAAATTTTTAGGATTTTAAAAATATTTTATTTTTTTTGACTCATTTGGTGTAAACTAAAAATGAAAAATTTTTTAAGTTTCCATCATTATTTTTGGAGTTATGATGCGGATTCTCAGTTTAGTCAATTTTTTAATTTTTTTTTAAAATTTTTGGGATTTTAAAAATATTTTATTTTTTTTTCACTGATTTGGTGTAAACTAACTTATTTAAACATAAAATGAAAAAATTTTTAAGTTTCCATCATTATTTTTGGAGTTATGATGCGGATTCTCAGTTTAGTCAATTTTTTTTTTAGATTTTTGGGATTTTAAAAATATTTTATTTTTTGACTCATTTGGTGTAAACTAACATATATAAACATAAAATGAAAAAAATTTTAAGTTTCCATCATTATTTTAGGAGTTATGTGGATTCTTAGTCAATTTTTTAATTTTTTTTTAAATTTTTAGGATTTTAAAAATATTTTATTTTTTTTGACTCATTTGGTGTAAACTAAAAATGAAAAATTTTTTAAGTTTCCATCATTATTTTTGGAGTTATGATGCGGATTCTCAGTTTAGTCAATTTTTTAATTTTTTTTTAAAATTTTTGGGATTTTAAAAATATTTTATTTTTTTTTCACTGATTTGGTGTAAACTAACTTATTTAAACATAAAATGAAAAAATTTTTAAGTTTCCATCATTATTTTTGGAGTTATGATGCGGATTCTCAGTTTAGTCAATTTTTTTTTTAGATTTTTGGGATTTTAAAAATATTTTATTTTTTGACTCATTTGGTGTAAACTAACATATATAAACATAAAATGAAAAAAATTTTAAGTTTCCATCATTATTTTAGGAGTTATGTGGATTCTTAGTCAATTTTTTAATTTTTTTTTAAATTTTTAGGATTTTAAAAATATTTTATTTTTTTTGACTCATTTGGTGTAAACTAAAAATGAAAAAATTTTTAAGTTTCCATCATTATTTTTGGAGTTATGATGCATTCTCAGTTTAGTCAATTTTTTAATTTTTTTTAAAATTTTTGGGATTTTAAAAATATTTTATTTTTTTTCACTGATTTGGTGTAAACTAACTTATTTAAACATAAAATGAAAATTTTTTAAGTTTCCATCATTATTTTTGGAGTTATGATGCGGATTCTCAGTTTAGTCATTTTTTTTTAGATTTTTGGGATTTTAAAAATATTTTATTTTTTGACTCATTTGGTGTAAAAAACATATATAAACATAAAATGAAAAAAATTTTAAGTTTCCATCATTATTTTTGGAGTTATGTGGATTCTTGGTCAATTTTTTAATTTTTTTTAAAATTTTTAGGATTTTAAAAATATTTTATTTTTTTTGACTCATTTGGTGTAAACTAAAAATGAAAAAATTTTTAAGTTTCCATCATTATTTTTGGAGTTATGATGCGGAATCTCAGTTTAGTCAATTTTTTAATTTTTTTTAGATTTTTGGGATTTAAAAAATATTTTATTTTTATTGACTCATTTGGTGTAAACTAATATATATAAACATAAAATGAAAAAATTTTTAAGTTTCCATCATTATTTTTGGAGTTATGATGCGGATTCTCAGTTTAGTCAATTTTTTAATTTTTTTTTTTAATTTTTGGGATTTTTAAAATATTATATTTTTTGACTCATTTGGTGTAAACTAACATATATAAACATAAAATGAAAAAATTTTTAAATTTACGTCATTATTTTTGGAGTTATGATGCGGATTCTCAGTTTAGTCAATTTTTAATTTTTTTTTTAGATTTTGGAATTTTAAATTTTTTTATAATTTTTGACTCATTTGGTGTAAAGTAACATATATAAACATAAAATGAAAAAATTTTTAAGTTTCCATCATTATTTTTGGAGTTATGATGTGAATTCTCAGTTTAGTCAATTTTTTTTTAGATTTTTGGGATTTTAAAAATATTTTATTTTGTTTGACTCATTTGGTGTAAACTAATATATATAAACATAAAATGAAAAAATTTTTAAGTTTCCATCATTATTTTTGGAGTTATGATGCGGATTCTCAGTTTAGTCAATTTTTAATTTTTTTTTTAGATTTTGGAATTTTAAATTTTTTTATAATTTTTGACTCATTTGGTGTAAACTAACATATATAAACATAAAATGTAAAAATTTTTAAATTTACGTCATTATTTTTGGAGTTATGATGCGGATTCTCAGTTTAGTCAATTTTTAATTTTTTTTTTAGATTTTGGAATTTTAAATTTTTTTATAATTTTTTGACTCATTTGGTGTAAACTAACATATATAAACATAAAATGAAAAAATTTTTAAGTTTCCATCATTATTTTTGGAGTTATGATGTGAATTCTCAGTTTAGTCAATTTTTTTTTAGATTTTTGGGATTTTAAAAATATTTTATTTTGTTTGACTCTCAGTTTAGTCAATTTTTTAATTTTTTTTTAGATTTTTGGGATTTAAAAAATATTTTATTATTTTTTTACTCATTTGGTGTAAACTAACATATATAAACATAAAATGAAAAAATTTTTAAATTTCCATCATTATTTTTGGAGTTATGATGTGAATTCTCAGTTTAGTCAATTTTTTTTTAGATTTTTGGGATTTTAAAAATATTTTATTTTGTTTGACTCATTTGGTGTAAACTAATATATATAAACATAAAATGAAAAAATTTTCAAGTTTACGTCATTATTTTTGGAGTTATGATGCGGATTCTCAGTTTAGTCAATTTTTTAATTTTTTTTTAGATTTTTGGGATTTAAAAAATATTTTATTATTTTTTTACTCATTTGGTGTAAACTAACATATATAAACATAAAATGAAAAAATTTTTAAATTTCCATCATTATTTTTGGAGTTATGATGTGAATTCTCAGTTTAGTCAATTTTTTTTTTATATTTTTGGGATTTTAAAAATATTTTATTTTGTTTGACTCATTTGGTGTAAACTAACTTATATAAATATAAATAAATGCCTTTTTTTATAGTTGGAAACGGAAAAGTAGTTTACTTCAATTAAAATTTAGGGGCCCTTAAAAGGGCCGTTGGGTATTCATTGGTTAAAAAAGACCGTTGCGTATTTATGTCTTATAGATGTTCGTCATATAGATAAATAAAGATTTGATAATATATAATAATACAATCTTTAAACAAGTTAGAAATAGCAATCCTCCACAAATTTTATTAAATATAATTTTATAAAAAAAATTAAGATAAAAAGAAACTCATTATAAATTTTCATAAAAAGATTAGAACGACTATTTCTTGCACATAATTAATCTTAAAAATAAGCATAAACGCCAGAAAGATGGATAATTATTTAAAATATAGGGGAGACGGGGTTAGTCAAACCGATTTTTACAAAATTGGCTGTAGCTCTGGTTTTTTTAGATAATATATAAAATAATATATAATTAGATACCTAAAACTATACTCAGGTGCCTTATAAAAAATTTTTAGAATATAATCTTTTTTTTTTAATTTTATTTTTTGTAAAAGTGAAAATTTTGTGTAACAAGCCCCAATAGCGGGGTGAGGCAAACTACTACAAGGGGCTAACTAAACCATTTGTTTTCTAAGGACCTAATAAATTGAAATGCATTTTTATTTATTAATAATGATACGCATAAAGTAATTTTATTGTTTTATTGTTCAAAATATCATTTGAAACTTAATTTTGGTTAATTTAATAAATATTTTGGACATAAAAAAATAAGGATCTTAAGGAGAGATTATGATTTCTTACCATAAATTCTAAATACCAATCATAAAACTGCCATGAAATCGCCTTTTCAAGATTTTGAAATTTCTTTCATTATTAACTGCCATAATTGACTTGTATGGTTTAGCAAACCCCGCTAGGTCTAAATTGACAAATTATGATTGAAATAATATCTAGATATAATAAATAATCATAAAACTTTCCCAAATGATAGAAGAGTGTTTAAACTTTGCT